GAAGCTTGAGGTATCACATTCAAATAAAAAGTGGGAGATTGAAGGCACAAGAAGTTGCAGTCAAGATTCAAGCCGAAGTGCACAGAGGATCATACGAGGAAAGGAGTAACTTGATCGAGTGACGTGGTGTTATCAAAATAGGAACAAGGGAGATATTGCGATGGAAGAGAATATCAAGAGAAGATATGAGAATATTTGATGGAGAAAAATAAGGAAGGTGATGAAGGCAGTATAAGAAGCGTGAGAGGGTATTGACCTAGTGCGCACAAAAACAGAGAAAAAGGATATTGGTGAGCGAATGTTTTTGTAAGAAGAGAGTAAGAAGAAAACTCGAGTGATTTGAGACTTTGGGTAGATTTAGGATCGGTCAGTATCGGGTCAAGAGTTTGATTGCGAATAAAACTGATCAAACAAGTCTGTAAAGGATTGTTTGAAGGATTCTAAATAAAGAGTGTTTTGGTGGTGCATTGAAATCCTGTCAGATCTATACTACCGGTTTTTCAATAAAATCTTTGCTTCCAATTCCATGTAATTATGTACGAGGTTTTTTCTTTATCTAGTAAATTTAATAAGGACCTAAGCCATCGGATTTAGAACATGAAAATGAAACAGTCAAATTCATACGACTAAATCATGACGAATTAAAAAAGATTATTTTGAGCTTTTCTATATAATAGATTATAGATCATTAGAATGTTGGCAGGCTCTCTTACTTTAGTGGCTCCAACCAACAACGTGTTATAAATTTGTAACACCCCGATCCGCCGGGTCGGTTGTTACTAAAAATCAATTTTCGGTTTATTTAAATTAAACCATTATTTCTAATTACGCCCAATTCTAATCTTTTTAATCTTTTTTTAATTCTTTGCAAGCCCATTAATCCAACCCATTAAGCCAACCCATCTAAATTAACCCAGCTTATCTAAATTAACCCTAACTATAAGTAGTTCTCTAATCTCTCATTCTCTATTTTGGAAAACCCTATCCACATTTTCCTCTTCTCTTCTTCTTCTCTCAGCCACGCCATCCTCCTTCTCTCTCACCGTGGCTCTCTCCCTTTATCTCTCTCTCTTTCTGCTGCCTCTCTCTTGTTCTTCTTTCTCTCTTATCATCTTCTTCTTCCCTGGCCGCCACCTTCCATGACGTTTTTCCGGCGAACCGTGTGGATCCACGTGACGACCTACCTATCAATCTGTAGCCCCGAGTGTCAGCTTTCCAAGGAGACCTAGTTCATTGAGATCGGAGTTGTATGCAAGGAGATATCGTCGTTTTGGTGTGATATGTCCAGATCTGCTTTTAGACCAAGGTGAGGATTAGATCTAGGGTCTTCTTTTTATTCATTTGTCTTCTTCTGGTGTGTGAGGTCTAGATCTGATGAGCATAGGCTGTTTCCTTGTGCATCTAGCTAGATCCATGTGTAAATCTAATGAAATGATATAGGATCTCATTAGAGGAAGAACTAGCATATTTGATTGTTCATCCTGATGTGTGGTTAGTGATTGGTAGTGTAGCTAGATCAGGTGTTCATCTCGGTGGTGATGTGCCTAGGTATGGACTTGTTTGCTGGGCTATTGCTGTCTGTGTGACCAAAGCGGTAGTTCAACGGTGGGGGAAGGTACGCCGATCCTTCCAGAGTCTATATGACTGGAAGTCTGTCTGTGTGACCTAGCAATGTTGAACCTGTCTGTGTGACCTGGTGCCTGTCTTTGTGACCTGGCGATGTAGAGCCTGTCTGTGTGACCTGGCGATGTAGAGCCTGTCTGTGTGATCTGGCAGTGCCTGTCTGTGTGACCTGGCAAGGTTGGAGACATCACAATTGCTTGCTAGTTGTTTGTGCATCGCTTGGATGCTTGTATGTTGCTTGTTGGATTTATTCTTGATATGCTGGTTGGAAATAAATGAGTTGGAAGGGAGCCTGGTCTGGTTCTCACTGAGTAATCCCCATTACTCACCCCTCCTCTTCCCTTGTCTTATCAGGTGTAGGTGAAAGATCAGCTTAAGTCTATGTTGTGGATTGTTACCTGGGCGTTTTCGATCCTGGCAGACCTGAGGCTCACCATCTGGACCAAACCAGACGTCTGACCGAATGCAGTTAGATGGTCAACCTAACATATCCGATTTCTCCGGTTTTCTTAGGAAACCTGGGATAGGGATGTTACAAAATTTATAATATATTTCTTGAACTTTTTTTTGTTTTTGTTTTTTTGCTTTATCTCGACAATAAAAGAATTAAGTTAAGCCGAAAATGATATATATGAGAAACAACCTCATAATTTCCTTTAACGTAGGAAATAAAATATGTAGCCAACTTCTTCTAATAAAAAAAAAGACTAGGTTTTAGGGTTTTTAAATTTTCTTATTTTTGTAGACCTATAGTTTTACTGTATTGATTTTGATATTTGAATAAGAGAGCTTTTGATATTTTCAATCCTTGTTTTTTGTAAGATCTGTATAGAGATCTTAACAAGTTTAAAAAGACTTGGTTTATTCGGACAAACGAATAAATTGCATATATCTAACTTTGACTACGTTCAATTCGTATACTCATTTCCATGTCTCAGTGAATCTGTGAAAGAAGCAAATATATTAGAAAAAAAGTTGTTCTTACAAAAACGTCAGTTATGAATATCGTCATGAGCTTGGACAACTTGTATTTAGCAATATGTAATGGTTTTAAAAAACCTCCATTCTTTAACATCAATCAACAAGATTAAAAGATATCACTGAACGTCTCTCCCGTGACGGGGTTACAAATCACCCGCAACGTTCTTCCCGTTTCATGAAGAAAGACCAATCCACTTAGAGGAGGACAGATTTCAGATGGGAGATATTTGCGAAAATAATTATAACGGGTGGCTACAAGGGAAATCTCTTCACTGGATTCTGAGGTTGAGGTGAAGACAGAGCCGTGCCCAGATAAAGTCTTAAACTTTAAAAGTATATATATACCATTCAAATTATAATATATTATATATTTTGGTATACATAAATAAGCTTTTTAAAATGTTAAAAAAATTTGGCCCTAAGCCAATGTTTCAAAATTTATAACATGGGCACGGCCTTGTTGAACGTCTAAATTTGGATGATTAAAAATCTTAAGACTTATAACAAAAAACAATAGAAATTCAATCTTATATATGAAAGACAACCAACTCTCTCCAGCTGAATGACACATCAGCAATGGAGAGAGTGACACATGTCCATTAAAAATATTAATAAAAGTATTAATTAATCAAATTTAGAGCAAATACATTAAAGATCATAAGTAAATGAACACATTAAAGAATATAAGTAAATAATATATATATATATATATTAGAATGAAATTAAATTTAAATTTAAATCTATAAAAATTTATAAATATTATATAATACAAAACTTTTTAAATGCACAATTCTAATATATGTATATATTACTTATTTAGTTATGTTAGATTAGATTGAATTCGTTAAAAGTTTTTTAAATAATCTTATATAAAACTCCAACTAATAAAATTATAAAACACAAATAATATTTAATAAATCATTAAAGAGATAAAAATTATTTAAAAAATAATAGTAAAAAGAATGATGTCCACATAAAAATGTCAAACATGTTTTTTTAATAAAAAAATGGAATCAATATATATATATAACCAACAAAATTCAAAATAGTAAATTGAGAAAGTTAACAAATATTATATTAGTAAAATTTACAAGAATAAAAGAAATATAAAGATCGAAGAACAAATAAATATTCCTCTCTAATATTTAACGTATATTTTCAAGTGAACTATTACGTTTTCATATAAAAATTAAAATAGTGGATTTTTAGTCTAATTTTTCTTCCAAGATAATAAAGTTTTTTATTATTTTGGGAGAAAAATTAGACTAATGGCACAACTGATGTAGAAAAGATTATAAATAATGTATCATTAAAAAGAAATCGAATAAAATATAATTATTTTAAATGCAAAAATATTGATATTAAATATAAAATTTAATACAAATTTTAAAAATATAATATTTAAAATAAAAATTAAAACAAGATCTGCGCATATGCGCGGATTCTCCTAGTATGTAATAAATACCACAACAAACAAATAGACAAACTTTGTTTTAGAAGATGAGATGAAAATTCTAGTCCCGAACAATGTCATTCTATAGTTAATGGTTTGATGTATTGAAAAAAATCCATGGTTGCCTAACTTTTCTCCGTTTTCTTTGTTTGGGTCGAACCTGGGTCTCGCATACTTATCTGTCCGGTTGTGAATATAGAAGTAAAAGTATTCGTCCATGTTTTATTTCATGTGGAACCTTGTGTTGTTGTCCCTTGTGTCTTTCTTTTCTCCAGCATATGATGGTTTAACACAAATCTTATAAGGTTAACAAAAAAAAGAAAAAAAAATCTTTGTCTTAGAGGATGAAATCAAATTCTAGTCCATGGATTTCAAACCGAATCTTATTCTCTTATTAATCAATCGTCCAGTTCTGCTTGTTTATTTTATTGAATTTCTCCATGTTGCCACCTAAATCATCATCCTCTCTTTAAAAAAAATATTAGCTGCACTCGCACGTTGAGGACTTAAACTTTTAATAAAGTTACACATTTCTTGTTACATGCATGAGAAAAGAGTTATTTTCAAAAAAAATAAAAAATAAACATAGATTAGTTTAAAAAACAAAAAAAAATATTACAGAACTAAAAATCCTTTCTTTCTTTCTTTTGTATTTTCTATAATTACCCTACTTTTTTACCATATTACTTTTATCTCTCTTTTACCTTTTTATTTTCCTCTTAATTACTCCAAAATTGTAAAAATCATAGTCATTAGAATATATGTTGTAAAACGTATATTGATCGCGAAATATTTTTTGTTCATTTGTTTACTAATAACATATTTACATGTGTCAAGATAAATGAGTTTAGGACAATTCTTGTAAAATCATAAGATTCTAATGGTAGATGAAATCATAAAATTTACATTTTTAGCTTTTAATTATTTAATTAGAAAAAGAATACAAAGATGAAACTTTTGATTATCAGATCTAATTCACATGATGATACAAGGATCCCAGTTTTCGTCTCCAGGTTTTGGCTGATTTTGCTCTGGCTCTGTATCAGGCCCAACCTCGATTATGTCAACATCTTTACATATCTTCTTCAGTTTCTTTGTCAATTCAAAATTGTTGAATTCTCCGGTCACCTTAAGTTTTCCTTCTTCTCTCACGTCCAATGAAGTAACTCCTAACAAATATTAAAAAAAAAAAAACAATTTCTTAAACTTTGTTAGCCTAAATAAATATACTTATATCTATATATAAAATCAGGTATAACTAATCATTGGTTAATGTTGGTTTAGTATAACTACTGATTTTTGTTGGTGTACCTGAAAATTCACATACAGTTTTCATAGCTTTCTTCTTGATTCTTTCGTCATGAACTTCCAACTTGAGTACAATTTTCTGCACATTGGATGGAACATGTAAATAAAATTGAATGTTTATACAGTTCACTATGTAAACAAATAATATTATTGAATGTCTAACTTTATAGAACAATGTAAGTATATATATGTATATATATATATATATACGGTTTTGCTACCATTGATAAAAAAAATTCCGTGTGGATTTTTTTTTTTATATAGAAAAAACTGATCACTTTTTGAAAATGAAGGTTAAAAGATAAACCTGCATGTTTTAAAAGTTTGGAGAGTGAAGAGAGATGATGTAAAGGAACGTGATTGCACTATCGTGGCTTGCTCACAAATTTTTGCCTCCCCGTATGTGTGTATTTAAAGCCCTTTAACTGAAAAAAGTATGTCTGTATTTATATATATTAGATTTTTCTTTTTAAAAAATCTTTTGGTCTTACGCTATTTTTTCTTAAACTAAAAGAGAGATGATATAAAATATTAATATAAGATATTTTTATTAAACTAAAGAAAGATGATCTATTATTTATGTTTTATTATTTATTTAAAAATCTATATATATTTATTTAAAAATCTATATAGATTTATTTTTACATATTTTCATGTTTTCATATTATTTTTAGAAAGGATTCCTTTATTTATTTTGATTTCTTTATTGCTTTTTTCTTTTTTTGGTGTACAATAAGAAAATCAAAATAAATAAAAGAATCCTGATTAAAATAATATCAAATGAATATATGTAAACAATAAATATATATTGATTTTTTTGATAGCATGCTATATCATATATGTTTGCCAAAAAGAGTTTAAATGGTATGTAATTTTTTTTTTTTACGTTTTTACGTTTTCACGTTTTGAAAATGCGATTTTGCTTTTTTATAATTTATATTATTCATCAATTTTTTATATATTTTCACGTTTTTGAAAAGTAATTCTGCTATAATTGTCCAACTAGCGTGTTAAAATTATAACTAGGAAAAACAAAACATGAGTAATCTACTAAAACTAGATTTTCAACGTTTTATAATTCTTCTATTCTTCTATATTCTCTTCGTCAGTCCAAACTCTATCATTCTTGGGGTTCTTCCTCTTATTATCTTTCAGGACCACCTTCCTCTTCATTTCCATTTTCAGCTTCTTCTTTATTTTCATTCTCGAATCAGAATGGAAGAAAGAATCACCATTTAGTGAAGATTCAGTTCTGGTCTAGAAGTCAAGACTCAAGAGCTCTAGACGACAACTTATTTTTTTTCTAAAATATGTATTTTACATTTAAAATATATTTTTAACCAATCCACCCAAAAACCACATTCCCCTTTATTCTGTTCACATAGTCATTTAATTAATTATGTTTTTTTTTTGTGTGTAACATATACTTTTCATTGCTTAGGCTTCCAGAATACAACTAGAGAAAATTAACCATCCTCTTTCGCTACAATTATACAGATGAAAAACATTAAATCTTAAAACAAATACTTAATTATGGTACCCTCGACAAATCAACCTAAAAAAAATAGAAAGAAGTTTCAAAGTACTTGTAATTTAAAACAATATTCAAATATTTGTATGGTTTGGAACCGAAACTTCATATATGAATAGTTCAAAACAGTACAAACAATTTGAGATTTTGAGTACCAGATTTTTCACAAAAATTAGAAAAGTAATATATATTTTTCCTTTTCTTTTACGAACATTCTTTTTTGTACAAGGTTGAATAAAAGAGCTGTATTGATTGTTTTTTTTTTTGGGTTAAAAGCTGTATTGATTTTGATATATAATAAAAGAGCTTTTTATATTTTCAATCTTTGATTTTGTTTAGATCTATAGAGATCTCAACAAGTTTAAAAATGCTTTGTGTATTTAGCTATTTGTAATGGTTTCTAAAAAGCTTCAATCTTTACTATCAATCAACAAAATTAAATGATATCACTCAATGACTACAGTTTGGATGATCAAAAATCTTAAGACTTCTAACAAAACAATAGAAAGCCAATATGTAATAAATACCACAACAAACAAGGAGACAAACATTGTTTTAGAAGATGAGATGAAATTCTAGTCCAGAACAACGTCATTCTATGGGTAATGGTTTGATGTATTGAAAATTTCCCATGGTTGCCTAACTTTTCTCCGTTTTCTGTGTTTGTGTCGAACCTGGGTCTCGCGTACTCGTCTGTCCAGTTGTGAATAAAGAAGTAAAAGTATTCGTCCACGTTTTATCTCCTGTGGAACCTTGTGTTGTTGACTTGTTGTCCCTTGTGTCTTTTCTCCTCCTGCATAAGATGGTTTAACACAAATCTTATAAGGTTAACAAAGCAAAAGAAAAATAATTTCTGTTTTAGAGGATGAAATCAAATTCTAGTCCATGGAGTTACAAACCGAATCTTATTCTCTTATTAATCCCCCAGTTCTGCTTGTTTATTCTCTTGAATTTCTCCATGGTGCCACCTTGATCATCATCCTCTTTTATTTTATTTTTTATAAATTTTAGCCGCTTCCGCTCCAAAAACTTTTCCCTGCTTAACCGCAGTGGCACGGAGGACTGATGCCTGCGTAACCGCACTCGCACCAATACCCTTTGCCTTGTCCCACAAGGTAGGTTATTGCGGTTTTCTCCAATTTGAGCTACCGGCAGCAACGGATGGCTTATTCAATTCTTCTTTGTCAATATGCGGTTTGTTTCCTCCAAAGGCTGTTTTGGAAAAAGTTTCTTCATTGGGTGGCTTATTCACTTCTGGATCTTTTTCTTCATCTGGTCCAACCTTGATTATGACAACAGAGTCATCTATTTTCTTTAGTGCCTTTGTCATTTCAAGCTTATCAAATTCTCCCTTCACGTCTACTTGACCTTCCCCCTCGACCTCTATCACCGAAGTAACTCCTAACAATAACAACAAAATATTTTGCTTTATTGTTTCTTTTAGCCTAAATCTTTGATATAAATTTATTGTTTCTGTATATAAACTAAAATATCAATTAAAAAGCTGAATATTTTGCCATCATTGATTTATATGATCTAATTAATAATAAAGCCACAGATTTGTGACCTGGAAACCCCCAGACAACTGCCATAACTTTTTGTTTGATGCTTTCATCAAAAACTCTAAACTTGTATACAACTGTTTCCTGCAAATTAGCAGTTCAAGGTATAAACAATAAAATGATCCAAAAAGATGTTTATATGCAGATAATTTAAGCCATTGAAATTTTAATTTCTTAACACCACTCTTAAATTTGAACAAAAAAAAAACACCACTCTGAAAGAAAAAGCGAACCTTCAATTTCGGAGTATTAGATAGATGGGAGAGTAAAGAGAGAGAGCAAAAAGGAATATGATTTGCAACCTTGTAGCTGGCTCTTAAACCCTTTGCTTCCCCGTTTATTTTTACGATATTTTGTAGTATTAAACTATGTGAATACTAGAACTAGTTAGAATAGGACATAGTCAATTTAGTAGACAGTTTGAGTCTTTCTATATGATAGATGGATAGAATCAAAACATTTGAGTCTTTCTATATTATAGATTGTGGGTCTTTGACTTTAATGACTTCAACTACCTTGTATTTTTGTCGTTATCTCCATAATATAAGAGCAATTGAAGTCAAGACGTAAATGATAATATTAGAGAGGAAAGTATTCACAATTTCTTCGAAGCTTGGAAAAGAAATATCTAATGATTATGCTTAAATTAAGGAAAGGAAAATATTCGATTAGTTGAAGAGTAAATTTAAGGCAGAAACTCTGTCTATCTCCTCTATATGTACGTAGACGATATTATAGTCTAGCTCGACCACGTCCCCAATAAGAAAATGTTATCGGCCAGACCATTCTCAACGCCGATGGTACCTTCCCCCGAAACCAGGATCAGTAGCACGTTACAAGTGATGGAGCACGTGCCTCATGTTACCTAACTATAAATTACATATGCAAGTAACTAGTAATAGTAGAAAATAGTATTTTGTAACTTTATCTCTTACGTTTCCATATATATATTAGAAAATATATATAGAATAATTTTTTGTTTTGGTTTTAATGTTAAGATTTTATAAAAAAAAAAGAGAAGGTTTCATATATATATTTTTTAAAGGTAATAGTAGAAATAATGTTACAAAAACGTAAGAAATAATGTTAAGAAATAAAGTTACAAAATAAAAATTATTCTTACGTTTCCATATATATATTTTTTAAAGGTTTTTGTTTTTTTCCAAATAAAAAAAATTGATTAACTGGCTTCCAATTTTTTTCTTTAAACAATGACTAATCATTAAAATTAGTAATTTACGTAATTTGAGAGATTATATCTTGAAGCGCAAAGGGTTTTTAAGTTAACATTTTGAGCGCAAAGGGTTTAGGAATTTACGTAATGACTATAGGACTTCGACGCAAAGGGTTTTTAAGTTAATATTTTGAGCCGCAAATTTGAGAGATTGTATATGAAGCTTCCACGAAAAACAGAAACTGAAAGGTGAGTGTTCGGCTATTCTCTTGATTCATGGTAGGGTGAGATTTAGGTTGGGAACGCGTAGACTAGCTAGGAATTGTTTGGGGATATTCTAAGTAGTCAGAATTGTGTAACACCAAAGTAATTGTAATCTATAACTTAATTGTGCAGTGAATTGTTTATGTGTCGCATTATCAGTAAGTTTTGGTTGTAAAATTAATTTTTTATCTTTATTTATAATCTCAAAAATATGTGTTTATCTATATAATTAATTATATAGTGATTTGCTTACATAATGTTTATGTGTCGCATGCATTTTATGAAATTATTTTTTATCTTTAATGAATAATTTAAAGCTGTCTATTTTCATCGTGAGAAAGAAAAGTTAGCTTTCTGATGTGCTTATGTGTCCGGTATACTTAAAACGAACCGATGTCAATTCGATTGTATTATTTATTTTAAATCTCGAACCAAATTTAAATCATATAAATTAAGTTTAATCTTCTGCTCTGTCCTCGATATTATTAAATTCCGATCGAATTTTCTACTCTGTAAACGATTTTCAATTACATAATGGTATAGATTGATGGATTTAAGCCCTTTCATTCAATTTTTAGATTTGGTTTTAAGGTAAGTTTCATTTTGTTGCGCTGTCGATAAGAATTTTGTATTGGTATATAGAGCTTACGTTAGTGTTTTGGACTTGTGCAATAGAACAACTAAAGATGAAATATCGCAATCACCGTTATATTATTAAGAAAGAATTAAAAATATAAGACAAAAAAATATTATATTATCCTCTTAATCTTTTAATTTAGAGAATTGTCCCATTAATCTTTCTACAACTTATTTATCCTCTTCTACCCTTAAAATTGAAATTATCCAATATAATAAAAAACTGTAATATTTATTTTAATCACATAAACATTTTAACAAAAAAGTTAAAAAAAAATTTACATCTCTCTTGTAGAATCCCCCTCCTACAAACTTTAGGAGTCGACGAAGAAAACAAAAAACTTTCCCCGCTGACTTCTTCTCCTCCGGTTTTCTTCTCCTCCGGTGTACTCTCCGGTGGACCTTCACTCGGGTAAGTCGCCTCTTCCTCCTTATTTGCAATTTCGTTTCAATAGATTGGGATGTTAGGGTTTGTTTAATCTCAAATCGATTTGGGTTTTCTGTGTATAGGGATAGTGATTCTCGGGTTTAGAGAACAGATTGTCAATAGCTTCTCTCGCTAAATTTTTCTTGAATCAACCCAAATTTAACTTTTTCTTTTCTCTGAATAAGTGAGTAAAGCAAGTGCTGTGTGGACAGATTGTCAATCTCTCTCTCGCTGGAATATTTTTTTAAACCTCTTTTCAGGTACTTGTTCCTTCTTTTCCAGATTGGTGATTTCTCTCTTCTTTCAAAGGCTCTTTATTTGCATTTGATTTCTGATTAATTTGAGGAATCATGTGCTGGGTTGCTCGAGCTTCGTTGAGTCTTGGGTTTCTCAAATAAGACTTCCTCTTAACTTATGTGTTCAATTACGGTTATAATCCAAGTCAAAGATGTGTTCTTTTGTTGACAGTGTTCTATTGCGAAATTGGGTTTTTAATTGTTTTCTTCTTCTCTTTGTTAGCTTCCCATGATTTGTTGTTATTCAATTTCGAATTTTACATGGGAGATTAGAGCTTATGTTAAGATGTTCTGGGTGTGTGTGTGTCTATTAATCTAACAAACTCAAGAATTTACCCATGTTATGTTTGTAAATTCTTATTGTGTGGCTCATTGTGTTTGAAGTAAAATTAGCAGGTCGGCAATCGGCATCTATGGTGCCCACGTGGAAAACAAATTCTACTAAAGTTTCTGGTTTATAGCTATGCCTATATCATACTTTGATGTCGGTGTTTAAAAACCTTTTATATATACATATAACAAAAGTTTGATTGTGCCCTACTTTTCTAACCATTTTCCTCATTTTTTTGCATCAAAGATCCTTATTTTTGTTAGCACTAGGTGAAATGGTTTTGCGTCCATACAACAAATATGGAAACGAAGGAATTACAAGGAAGAAAGTAACCATGATCTCTGACTTTGTAGACGAAAATGATCAGTTAACAAATTTAACGAGCGTAACAACTTGATATTTGTATATTATGGATAGTTATCAAATTTTTTTTTATCATTTGAGCCAAAAGAGAAAAAAGAGATTTGAGTTTGTGAAAACAGAGTGAGAAAGTATGTGCGCTATGGAGAGATAGAGGCTGAAGTGTATTTATGGTCTGAATTTATAGTTACAAATTGTTTTTGATCTGTGATTTGGTGAAGAATTAGATGGATTAGACTTTAGGAAATTTTACTAGATTATGGTATTGCTTGGGTTTCTACAATGAAAAGTTTATACATGTTCGTCTCTGGAATTTTGGTGGAATTAGGAATTTTCGACTTAATTGACAAGCTTTGCATCATCGAAATTTTCCAGTTCGTTGGTCTTCTATATTGTTAATCAGTTACGTATGTTTAAATCTAGAGGTTAAATAATTGTACAAGTGCCTTGTTACTACTGTTCTGATTGCTTTGTGGAATGCTGCTACTTATCTTCATTTTGGGTGCCTGGTTTTCTTTAAAATCTGAATTTGGTTCTGCTATTTTGGGTGCCAAAATCGAATAGAAGTTGAAGCAGCCTATTATTTAAGAATCTCTCATAAACGTGTCTGAATCTTGGATGATATTCCTCTTTCAAGTGCAGTTACGTAGTGTTTTTTGTTTCCTTGTCCATGGAATTTCGTGGTTTGGGTTTTACTCATGAAAAGCGTTGAACATAGTTAATTACCTTTTTTATCATTGTCTTTGATTGCTACTCATTAATCTCGTTTATGTGATGTTTTATGTATGAAGATAGCTACTCATTTCCTTAATCTTTTATTTCTTATTCACAGGATTGGATATGGACTTGCCTAAACGATTTTTTACGCCAGGAAGTGTACCGGAAATTGATAAAATTAACAACCGCTGCACATTGTCGATTCTTGGCCTCGTTAAGCAGTACATGGAAGCAGAGTATAAGATAGTTTTGCAAGATCCAGTTTTTGGGTCGATTGTGAAGATGCATGAGAATGGTCTTGGGTATTCGGCGAGGCTGATCCACAGCATTCTCGGCAAACAGCTTATGACAGACAAGAAGCACGAACTGTGGTTCATTTTCGGACAGCGACCTCTTCGATTCTCCATGCAAGAGTATTATGCAGTTACTGGTTTCATGTTCCGGGAGACGAATAACGAGAACTGGGAAACCTGGGAGAAAGACGGTGGATTCTGGAGCAATCTGTTGGAGAGTAATGCAGGAATAACCCTGAAAATGATAAAGGATGTTCACATAAAGTCTGCTAACAAATGGAGTCGCGAGGATAGGTTGAGGTTGGTCTACGTGTGTATTATTGCGGGTTTGGTTATGGCGTAGAGTATTTACGTTCGTATCCCGCGCAAATACATTATGTTGGTGATGGATTTAGAGAGGCTGCATAGATACCCATGGGGTCTTACGTCATTCGACTTTCTGGTGGAAAACATTAACAAGAGTAGTGCGGGGCTGCGAGAAGGGAAGTCGTGTACTCTGGATGGATTTTCTCTAGCTCTTCAGATCTGGTTGATGGAAGCAATACCTGTTTTAGGGACAATGATGAGCACAAAAGTGAAAAATGCGCCAGTTACCATTCCTAGATGCACTAATTGGAGTGGATTTAGCGCTTTATCATTCGGAGATATTTCCCGGCGATAATTTACTAGTGTACCAAATATAATTTTGGTATTGTTATATCTATAACTGAAAATTTATTTAAAATGTAATATTGTATTTATGTTTTGTAAAATTATTTAAAATGTAATATTGTATGTGACATATTGTATTTATGTTTTGTAAAATATTTGGTTGTGTTGTTTTTGTCTGTTTTTTGTTGTTGATTACTTCTAATATTTGTTTGTATTGACAGACCGTTATAAATGATGGGCCTTTGGCGGATCTCCATGATGTTCAGTTGTCTCAGTTATCAGACATTGATTTAGGATTGGGTACCCAAGAGTTCCTTGAAAAAACTTCAGGCCATCTATCTCAAGATTCGTTTGTTAACGGGTTTGATCTAACACCGGCTTTACAGCGAATAGAACATATACTGCCGGTACCCACTGTCAAGAAGTCGTCGACTTCTAGGAGAAAAAATTTCAAAATACCCTCATTTCCAAATAATGGATACAGAGAAGATGATCCTGATTACAGTTTAGTTTTTGTTCCTGAATCACGCTTAGAGAAACTACAACAGTGGTCAATGGATAAATCAAAGTAAGTATTTTTTTTTTACTTAACGTTGAGTAATAGTGTTCTGAAATTCACTTGAATGAAAAGAAAATTGAGAGATTTTTAAACAATTTTTCAGTTCATTAAAATGTGGTCCTGTGGATTTCACATTCGAGGTTGCGCATCGGATTATTAGTTTTAGGAGTTGGCTACATACACCGGTACGTAATTACCCAAATACAAATATATTTTTTTTCTTCTTAGTGTAGTTGTATTTAGACATATGTATTTTCCCAGGATATGGATGCTGTTATGTACTTATTTCGTGAGTACACAGCTTTGCGTCGATGGACTGAAAACCGTGTGGTTTTTGTGGATTGTTATTTTGCTGCCCAACTCGAGGGTGCTTACAAAAAATTGTTGGAGGGTAAAAGAACCTTTGAATTCAACAAACGGCTCCTACATTACGCCATCGGGGAGTTACCATCACATGGGAGAACAAAGAAGATTTTCGACGTTGATGTTGACAGACTTTACGCACCGGTTAACGTGAATGGTAATCATTGGATCTCTTTGTGCGTGAATTTTGTTCAAAGAACTGTTGAAGTCTTCGATTGTAATGGATTCAAGTATGGAAAGTTGGTAGAAGCATTCTCGGTTCTCATGCCTCGACTAGTGAAGGAAGTGCAGTCTCCTAAGAACAAGAAACAGTTGAATGTGAAGCCCTATGGGATCCAATATGCTCAGGTGAAACGGGGAAGTAATAAAACTCAATGTGATTGTGGAGTGTATGCTTTGAAATACATTGAGTGTCACGCACGCGGGCTGGACTTGTCTTTGATGCATGATGACAACATTAACATTGCTCGTATGAAGATAGCATGTGATCTTTTTTATGCTGCAAACGATCCTGTCTTCATTGACCGAATGTCTAGGTATGAAACTACCTGCTTGATTTGTTTTTGTTTTTTTTTTAACTTATTGGTGGAATTCCTTATATGACCAACAATTAACAGTTGTTTTGCTTCTTATATGACCTAGGTATGAGCCTATCAGCTGGGAAACGGAGGAGATTGACATTGATCCAGATCTCTGAGAAACTAATTCGTATTATTTGTTTTTTCGTTAACTTATTTTATGATGTACGACATTTTTATATAAATTTTTACATGTTTTCTGCTATATCTATGACATTAGTTTGATAAATGATGAACGTTAATGGAATTGAAAATGCAGCGAAATAGTAAATCGATTTAAGCTGTAACATATGACAACATGTTGTTCATTTAAAAACCAATATATCGCTTTAATATAAAATCATTCAAGCTAACCTTAAATAAATTTGTCTATACACAATTATCGATTTCCGACCTAGCCCAACTGGTTTCCAATAAAAGTACCCTACATATGGACATGAGTTCCAACCCCACCGAATGGTGGGTAAGTTTTTTAATAAAAACTCATTCAATCTAACCTTAAAAAAATTTGTCTATACACAATTATTGATTTCCGACCTAGCCCAACTGGTTTCCAGTATAAGTACCCTACATATGGACATGAGTTCGAACCTCACCGGATGGTGGGTAAGTTTTTTAATAAAAACTCATTCAATCTAACCTTAAATAAATTTGTCTATACACAATTATTGATTTCCGACCTAGCCCAACTGGTTTCCAGTATACGTACCCTACATATGGACATGAGTTCGAACCCCACCGAATGGTGTGTAAGTTTTTTAATAAAAACTCATAAAATCTAACCTTAAATAAATTTGTCTATACCCAATTATTGATTTCCGGCCTATCATTACTGGTTTCGCATCTCTCTTCAAAAAGGTTCAGTGTTCGATCCTTGGTGAGTGCTTAAATTTTTTTTTGTTCCTTTACGATTTACAGCGCAATGGCAGTAGGTTCATCGAAACCTGTAAAAACCCAGCAAAAATTTTACAAAAAATATTTATTTTTCACTCAATCTCGCACAGCTTTTAGCAGCTTACCAAGAATAAACTGTTTTGCAAATAGAATTCTTAAAAAAAACAATGTCAACCAGTTCATAAACTAGAGAACAGAAATGCAAACATGTCCAAGAACTAAAAAGAGATGCCTAGATAGGCATGTCACATGTCCCTCTCTTGTGTCCTTCCAAACCACAACGACTACACTTATGTTTTTTAGTCTGCTGTGATCCCTGTGAATTACGTATTACGTCTTCCACCGTCTCATATCTTCGCTTGCGTCGTCTACCAGCTGCTCTCCGTGTTTCTGGTGCAAGAACTTTGGAATTTTCAATGTCCAATGGGACGACCCATGCATCCTCTGGAACGGCTATTGGATTAATGCTTTCTTTGTAAGCTATTCTCCATACGGCAGTGGTATACCTAGAATGCAATGTATTTTCAATGTAAGAAAAAAAATTCGAATATTGTAAAAGAAGATTAAGATTGCTATATTAAACCTTGCATCAGTAAGTGTGTGTGGTTCCTTGTTCACCGAAAAACAGCTTTGATGGCATGTCTGCAAGGGATTTTTAACAGTGTGTACTTCCCACAAGTACACGTCCTTAGCTCCAAGTCAACTACACAATCGAATTTGTCTCCTCTAACCAAAAGTCAATTCAAGCTAACTGGATGAACCCGGAGTGATTTACCCTTCTCAATCCTCCTGTCAATTTTTTTTTCGATCTCAATAGTTAATGGGGCATTATGCTTTGAGCTTACTCTTCTTCGATCATAAAACCATTTGGTTAACATTTCTCTGATGCTGTCCAACAAAGGAATGACAGGAAACTCTCTGGGTGCTAACAGAACAGAATTCATCGACTCAGCTGGGTTAGTGGTTCGAATGTCATATCTGAATCCAGAAAACTTGCATCGCGCCCACTTTTCCACACCAGCCTCCATCAAGTATTTCGCAACGAGCGGACTTATGTTGCGAATATCATTGAATCGCCTCTCAAATTCAGATACCCTATATTCTTTTGACGCTTTTGCAATTAAACCAACCAAACCCTTTGTCTTGAAATGAGATGCCACATTACTCAACAAATGATGTATGCAAATTCCATGTGAAGAGTGCGGATAAACTCTAGCAAGTGCTTTAGTAACAGACACATTTCTATCTGACACAAAAGCTACACCTTGCCCATCAGCTATAACGACCAATAGCTGCCTGAAAAACCACTCCCAAGACCGATCATTCTCAGAATCAACAACCCCAAATGCTATTGGATACAAGCTGGAGTCACCATCTAACGCTGTAGCGACAAGCAGAACACCTTTGTATTTGCTTTTCAAAAACGTGCCATCAACAACAATAACCCTACGCATAGCTCTATAGAAACCTCTAATCGACTGGCCGAAAGCAATAAATAGATATTTGAATCTATTATCGGAATCAGTTTCGAAATGAGTATGCGTACCCGGATTAGCTTGTTTCAACATGTGCAAATATTTGCGAATTTTGCCATAACCTTTTTCTGGAATTCCTCTAGCAACACTAACTGCATATTCACGCGCATCCCAAGCATGTTGGTAGGAGATCTCGCATCCATACTCACTTCGCATAAATTCCATGATTTCCCGAGGTATTGGCCCTTCTTTAACACCTTCAAACCTATGCATAATCTGTAGTCTAATTGTTTTCGCTGAAGCTGTTCTACCGATTTTTGTTTTTTTCGATGGAGCACATGTATGTTCAGCAACATACTTGTTTATTTTGAAATAGGTTGAGCCTTCTAAACATTCTGCACGAACGCTCCAGGAGCACACCCTATCTTTGCAGCGTATTGACCAGATTTTTTTTGTAGATTTCGTCACATCATAATCAAAGTTGTGCTGCATTGCACATATTTCAAAAGTCGCTTTCAAATAGTTTTTGCTTTTGAAAAGTTGCCCCTTCTTGACAGTGTCTACTAACCAACACCGAGATTGGATTTTTTCTTCCTCCTCACCAAAAAAAATATCTTCAGCATCCTTGCCAAGACCTTCTAGCTTACGAGCACCTGTTGTGCAGCCATCATTTTGCAGCTGTAAGACTAAAGGTTCAGGTTTTTCCTGCTGTTTCTCATTGCTGCCAGAGTCAGAGGGCTCTTTATTCAAATCAATGTTGACAAGTTCGCTTCTAATTGCAGATGGACCTGTCAGTGTCACACAGAACCAAACTGAAGGGTTTTTTTTTTGCATATCCAACAAAATTTTTAACTTGACGATCATTTGTGATAATGACTGGGGGAAACCCTGATTTATCAGTCAAATCACTAGGTAGATAACTGATTTGAACATGCTGATCGACGATACCATAGTCCTCTTTCACCATCATTTTTAATTCCTCAAAACTTGTACTCGATTCCAGAGTTATCAATCTTCCTCCTTTCTCTTCATCGACATTAAAATCCCACTCTCTCTTCAAACCAGAAGTCCATAATCCACATGTTACGTAGGTTTGTAACATATTTTAAATCAGGTGGTACGAAAAAAAAGGAGAAAACGTAAAAGTTATGAAGAAAACGCGAAAGTTTGTAGGTTGAAGGAGGAGAAAAAACGCTAGATTGAGGAGGAGAAGAAAAAAAATGGCGACAGAATTCTCTAAATTGAAAAAAAATATTTCAAAAATTAATTAGGAAATTAAATATTATGAAAAGGAAAGAAATATCTTCTCCTAGATCTGCTCCTAGATTTTCGGAAATTCATTTAACTGAATTGTAGAATAGGTATTCTATAATTGTAGAATAAAGGGTTTCCGTAGAAATGAGATTCTACTAAATTTGTAGAACAAAGTGTTTCCGTAGAAACCCAATTCTACTAAGATGTAGAACAAAGAGTGAACTATAGAAATATAATTCTACTAAACTGTAGAACAATGTTAAATTTATAGAATACGGTTTCACAGCTTTGTAGAACATAGAAGAAATGTAGAAAACTAATTCTATATTTTTAGTAGAAAACTAATGAAATCGTAGAAAGCCTATTCTATAATTTATAGATTTGTAGAATGCACTTTCTACTAATTCGGAAAATATTTGTAAAACAAATGTTTAAAATTTTTTAAAAAATATATTATATTTCAGAAAGTATTCGCAATTCCCTTTTTTATTTTTCCAAAATGTTTTAGACTGTAAAACTATATTTTTTTAATTTTCGAAATCCTATAAAATGGTCTTTATGTCCAAAAGTGGTCAAATTTGAAAAAGTCTTAAGGGGGCAATAGTACAAATTTTTTGTCCTATAAATATAATTGCCTCTATTATTAATGGGCCTCTGAGTTCATACTTGCCGGTGAATAGAACAATTTTATTGTTAGTTATATACGTTTATCGAGAATGATCAAAATTTTATGGGGAATCATTTTCTACAAAAACTGATAATAAATTTTGTAAAAAGAGAATTATATTAAGTCCCAGAAGCTTGGATGTGAAGATGATTAATGATTATATAGTATCATTATTATCAGTTAATATTTTGACCCAAAAACAAAAATTATCAGTTAATATTTTTATTTTTGGATATGTGTTACTATCAATATTCTATGTTCTTAGACAATTGAGAAAATTTTATTTATCAACAAAATACCCACGCATAGCGTGGACGCAAAATTTAGTTAATCTAATAATTAGTTGAACCTACTTTTAAAAAAATGTTGAGAAGGTTTCTGAGATTGATACGAGTACGAGGCTGAAAAGCTATAAAACACGAAAAAATAGGTTGAAAAGGCATGACTCTAATAATTAATTTCTTTTTGAATTATTTTTATTAATTTAAACTCTGGAAATTATACTTTTTTCCTTATATGTCTTCATAATCACGAAAATACCAGGGTAAAACCTACCCGTTTTAAGCCCACCCGATAACCCGTAAAAAAATTCAATTTCTTTCTAAAAAAATCAATTTCTTTTAATTCTTTAATTATTTTTCTTTAATTATCATTTTTTTTTCTCTACTCATCTTCATCATCGTCGTTTCGACGATAGATTCTAAAAATCACCAAAATCAAATCTTCATCATCCAAACTTTGTCTCTTCATTCTCTGTAATCAGTTTCTTACCTTTATCTCCTTCCAACCACAATTGTTGAAGCTTCAAACCCCAATTAGGTTTTTATTTAGAGATTTATGGATTTCACAATTTAGGGATTAGATTTGCCAAAATTGCTTGTTCGGTATGCAAATCGGGTTGGTTACGCATGATTAGATCTTTGCATAGATAATTTATCGAATATAGTTGTTGAATCGTAGTGATTCTTAGATAGATTAGAATTAAAATCCGAGTTCATCACCAAATCTACAGAGGAGGACAACTGGTACGAATGGTACAACTAAGAGATAAGAGGACAACTAGTACAATTGGTACAACTATGAGATAGATGACAACTGGTACAAATAGGTATAACTAAGACAACTTAAATAATTGCTGATTAAAAATTATTTTATTATAATTGCAAATCGGGTTGGTAACCCAGTTTTATGTGATGATCAGGTATTTGCATGGATAATTTGTTAAATATAATCGTTGAATTGTATTGATTCTTAGGTAAATTATAATTATACCTGAGTTCATCACCGAATCTGCAGAGGAGGACAACTGGTACGAATGGTACAACTAAGAGATCAGAGGACAACTAGTACAACTGATACAACTATGAGATAGAGGACACCTAGTACAAATGGATATAAGTCTACAACTAAGACACCTTGAATAATAGTTAATTAAGAATTGTTTACTATATTTTCAAGAGATAATGAGTATCAGCCACACAAGCAATTCAATAGATTTTATATCATTTAATTCCTCATATTTGGAACAGATAACTTATTCGGTATTTGGAATATATTGTATGTAAAAAGATTGCAATATATGAAACTAAACAGCTTTGGAGTAGATAATTTATGTGGAGAATGAATTGCACATATAAATGAAACTAAGTGGAGTATTTCTGATAATATACAAGAATTTTTTGTCTTACTGCCGAATTACACAAAAAAAAACAAAAAAGTGGTTTTTATTCTCCAAAAAACGTTGCCAAAAGACAAAAACGGATAATAAATTAGATAAGTGGTTTCAGAGCAAAAGTAGCATGGAAACTTAATTTGTGTATGTTTTCGGGTTTATTATATCCGAAGAGGTTTTATTTTAGCTAAGGAAATTACATTTTAGCCGAAGAATTTTCATTCTCGATAGCCACATTTTAGCAGAGAAAATCTTTCCCAAATAGGGATAAACAAAGTACAGTAGACACATATATACAATATCTATAACTCCTTAATCTAAAAACAAGTATATATAACTCCTTAATTTAAAAAAAAGGTACAACTGAATGAAAGATTCAACTTATTTCAGCCTTAGTGTGTACATGAGTATTTTGGAGTTATTTGTATTTTAAATTTCTTGGATTTTTTTGATTTTTTGCATTACTATTTATTTTGGAGTTATTTATATTTTGGATTTCTTTGATTTCTTGCATTACTATTTATTTGGAGTTATTTGTATTTTGAATTTCTCCAGGGCAACTAGGTGCAACTCGGGACAACTATATTTTAATTGTAGTGTTAAAAAATAAATTCCTAATATTATTTACTTAAAAGCCAATATAACCCATACCCTAAAAATTGTATCTTTTAACGTCTATACTAGAAATAGTAAAATAAAACTTTGTTTTGTTCAAAAAACCAAATATTATTGGTTTCATTTGAAATAACCCTTATGTTATAAGGAAGTCTTTGACAATGTTATCCATCTTATGCAAGCATCTATGCCAAAATATAGGAAATAGAAATAATGACGCAAAACCCTTGGGGCTGCTATATAATGTTCGAAATTTTTGTGGACAACTATAACATAATAATTTATGTCGAAGGACAACTGAAAAAACTACAAAATCGATCAAAGGACAACTATTACAAATTTTGGACAACTAGACAACTAGGTACAACTATGTTGTCAGTCGTAGACGCACGTGCGCCGACAAAAAGGGACACGTGCGCAGTCAAAGTACCATGTGCACCGTCAATTTTATACATAGTTGTACTCAGTTGTCTAGTTGTCCAAAATTCTTCATAGTTGTCTTTTGACAATTTTAGTATTTTTCCAGTTGTCCCTTGATATAAATTATTATTTTGTAGTTGTCCACATGATTTTTGACTATTGTAGTCTATTTACAACATTTTCATAAACAATTTATGCAAAATCATAATTTTGGTTCTTTTCCATCATAAGATTCTTAACATTATCAAAGTCTTTTTTGTATCATAAGGGGTGTTGGATGTGAAACCAATAATATGTATTAGAAAAATGATAAATTTCATGTTATCCATCTTTTTAATTTTATTCCTTATAGTTTACAAATTTTTTACATTTTTAAGTGAATGTTTGCTTTCTATATTTATAGTTTATCACTATTATTTTCTAATGAAAAAATTGCATATAGTTGTACCTTGTTTATTTCCATCCAGAAAGTATTCTCCGCCAAAAATGAAATCCTCTATATTAGATTGACTTACCTAAGTGTCAAGTTATCCATCAAAATAACATGTGCACTTATGTGCGCTGTCAATTTTTGTACATAGTTGTACCTAATTGTACTAGTTGTCCTCCTCTGCAGATTTGGAGATGAACTCAGATATAATTATACTTTACCTAAGAATCACTACGATTCAACGACTATATTTAGGAAATTATTCATGCAAATACCTAATCGTCATATAAAACTGGGTTACCAACCCGATTTTCAATTATAATAAAAGAATTTTCAATCAGCAATTATTTAAGTTATCTTAGTTATACCTATTTGTACCAGTTGTCCTCTATCTCATAGTTGTACCAGTTGTACTAGTTGTCCTCTTATCTCTTAGTTGTACCATTCGTACCAGTTGTCATCTTCTGCAGATTTGGTGATGAACTCAGATTTTCTACCTAATAATCACTACGATTCAACAACTATATTTGATAAATTATCTATGCAAAGACCTAATCATCACATAAACTAGGTTACCAACCCGATTTACATACCAAACAAGCAATTTTGACAAATTCAACCCCTAAATTGTAAAATCCCCAAATCTCCAAACAAAAACCTAAATGGGTTTGAAACTTCAACAATTGTGGTGGAGAGAGGATGAAGAAGAGGAGGAGAGGCGAGGGTTTGACGGCGAGAATGAGATTTGGTGGTTTTCAGAATCCATCAACAAAACGTTGACGAAGAAGAAGAAACAGAAAAAAAAAATTAAAATAATTATTTTTTAAATTAATTTTGTTTTAAATTATTAATTTCAATTTAAATAAAATCAATCATTTTTTATTAAATTCAGGAATGCCACAAAAAATTTTATTAAGGGTAAAATAAGAATTACATGTGTATTATGGCACACAGACTTGTTTATGGCACAACAGATTAACTTTTTTCAATTTATGGCATTACAACCATTAAACCGATTGATACCTCAGCATGACATTCATGTAAATAATACATGGGACAAATGATTTTTTTTTTAAATGTACTTGTCAATTAATAATATAAGATTTTATTAACAATAATATTAATTTTTTGAAATTTTCTTAATTTTGAATGTTGATGTAAACCAATAGAACTGTCGTTTTTTAATCCTATGTAGATATTCTTAGAAACATTTAACTTTAATTTTTATTAGTAATAGGATAACTTTTTGTTCATGTGCTACGTTTAGGGATTTAGGTAACGACGGACTTGGGTGAGAAAGGGTTTTTAGGTTAACATGTTGAACCGCAGTTTTGAGAGACTGTATCTTGAAGCTTCCACGAAAAACAGAAATTAAAGGGTGAGTGTTCGGCTATTCTCTTGATTTATGGTAGGCAGGGCCAGATCTGAGAATTTGAGGGCTATAAACAATTTAAGAACAATTTTTTGTGATTTGGAGGCTGAAAATTCGTAAATAATCAAAGAAAAATTTTGGGAGCTATAGGCGAATGTTTCATCAGGCTGTCTCCAGATCCGGTCCTGATGGTAGGGTGAGATTTAGGTTGGGAACGCGTAGACTAGAAATTGTTTGGGGGCATTCTATGTAGTTAGAGTTGTGTAACACCAAAGTAATTGTAATATGCTGTAGTAAAATAACTTAGAAGATTCTAGTGAATAAAGTATTAGAATTGGTGCATTCCAAATTTCCAATTCATATAAATATTATATTGTCTGGTTTTTCACACTTACATCAAGCCTAGTAGTCCGCTCAGGTTATTTTTTATAAAAAAATTCTGTGTATTCATATATACTTCAATGTCTTTCATTTGTTTGTGAATATGTGAGAGAAGCAAAAAAATATTCAAAACGAATCAGCTCTAATTTTACAAAAATAAACATCAGTTATGAATGTCCTCATGGGCTTGAGCAACTTGTATTTAACTGTTTATAATGGCTTTCAAAAAAAGGTCAATCTTTAATATCAAATCAACAAAATGATATCACCCAACGACTACAATTTGGATGATCAGGAATCTTAAGACATGACTAGAACAATAGAAAGCCAATATTTTAATAAACACCACAACAAACAAGGAGACAAACTTTATTTTAGAAGGTGAGATAAAGATCTAGTCCAGAACACGGTATTGCTAATCCTTTAATGGATTAAGAAAATCCGTTTTCTATGATTGTGTCCAACTTCGGTCTCGCGTGGATCCACTCGTTTGTGTCCAACTTGGGTCTCGCGTGGATGCACCCGTTGGTGTCGAACTTGGGTCTCGCGTGGTGTATGCACTCGTTAGTCCTGTTGGGAATGAGGAAGTAATAGTATTCATCCAACCACTTCCTGTGAAGCCCGTTGTATTTGCTGTTGCCCCTTGTGTGTTTTCTCTTTCTGCATGATCAGATGGTTTTAACACAAATCTTAAGGTCAACAATAAAAAATAGATTACCAATATGTAATAAGAAACCACAACATGTAATACGAAAGGCGAAATGAAATTCTAGTCCTTGGAGCTCAAACCGATCACCACCTTCAAATTAAAGAAAGCTTCTAAACTAAAAGAATTATGTGTTGTACCTTTTCTCCGTGCATCTTCTTTTCTTCGTGCATCTTCTTTTCTCCGTGCATCTTCTTTTCTCCGTGCATCTTCCTTCCTCTTTTCCGCCATGTGGGCATTTCGTTCATCTTCCTCTTCGCAATAAGGAAAAAAGAAAATCTTAAGGTTAATAAAGAAAAAGACACAACAAATAAATCTTTGTATTAAAAGATGAAATGAAATTCTTGTCCATGCTCAAATCCATCACCACCTCAAAAGAATTCAGTGTGTTTACCTTTTTTCCGTGCTTCTTCTCTTTTCTTGAGATTCTCAAAGTAGCGAAGATCACTCTCTTTCTTTTTTTCTTTTTTTTGACGTTCTTTTTCACGTTGTTCCTCATCCGCTTTTCTTTTTCTGATTTTTTCAGCCGCACCCGCAGCTATAGACTTCCCCTGCTCAATCACAACCGCACCAATATCTAATGCCTTGTTACCGGCAACCGCACCGATAACTATTGCCTTCTCAGCCGCAGCAGCTCCGAGACCTAATCCCTGCTTAGCCGCACCCACACCGAGAGCTTTTGTCTTGTCCCACAACCCATATGGTACCGGTATTGTCCAATTTGAGCTACCGGCAGCACCGGATGGCTTGTTCACTTCTTCTTTGTCAATAGACGCTTTGTCTTCTCCAAAGGCTGTTTTGGAAAAAGTTTCTTCATTGGTTGGTGGTTTATTCACTTCTGGATCTTTTTCTTCATCTGGTCCAATTATGACAACGGATTCATCTATTTTCTTTAGTTCCTTTGTCATTTCAAGCTTATCAAATTCTCCCCTCACCTCTAGTTGACCTTCTCCCTCGACCTCTATCACCGAAGTAACTCCTAACAAAATATATATATATATATATATATATATATATATATGTTTCTTTTAGCACTAAAACTAGATTAAAATTTCTAGTTTCTGTATAGGAACTGAATATCTTGCCATAATAATATAGCCATAGATTTGTGTTACCTGGAAACCCCCAGACAACTACCATAACTTTCGGTTTGATGCTTTCATCAAAAACTCTAAACTTGTATACAACTACTTCCTGCAAATTAGCAGTTCATGGTATAACCAATATAACGTTATCAAATAAAGAAAAGAAAAGAAAAGAAAAACACTCTGAATATTGAAGAAAAAGCGAACCTTCATTTTTGGAGAACTAAAGTAGATTTGGAGAGTGGAGAACGTAAAGGAATATGATTGCAATCTCGTAGCTAGCTGGCTCTTAAACCCTTTGCTTCTCCGTATATTTATACGATTTTTGTATTATATTAATTATTAGATCAAGCCATCGGAGAGGTCAAGTAGGAGATAGTCAATTTAGTATTAATCAAATCAACAGGAATAAAGTAGCTTGAATCCGTGTTTTTAATATGATAGATGGGTCTTTCTATATTATATAGATGGTTCCATGTCTCTTACTTTAGTGCCTTCAACTAATACCGTGTATTTTTTTTGTCGATATCTCGATTACTCGATGATATAAGAACAATTAAAGTCAAGACGTAAAGGATATAAGAAAGAAAACCTCACAGTTTCTTCGAAGCTTGTAAATGAAATATCTAATTATAGTGGTTGAAATTCACGAAAGAACAATAATGGATTATTTGAAGAGAAAAAGTTAAGGCGACCTGAGATAATATGATTTTATATAAACTTATAGCTATCGGAAGCAGCTCGAATCCCTCACCAAGACAAAAATGCTCTCGGCCACACCAGCAGACCCCTAGCGCCGCAACAAACCAACGGACCACGTTACTAGTGGTGCTGCACGTGCCCCATGCTAAATAGACTTATAAATTACATGTGCAAGCATAAGTAATCACTAATCAATAACTGGTTTTAAAAGCTTAGTAATATCCCAACATATCTGACAAGTTTGAGTCTCGTATTTTGCCTTTAATTGTTTTTTTCGAAACAAACATTATTCTACTCTCTTCTTCTTTTTTTTTTTTGGGTGCAACTATTCTACTCTCTTCTTAGTTCTTCCGTTTCCATAACTACTTTTTTTTTTTGCTTTTTTTGGTATTTTTTTTTTTTGCTGCTAAAGCTTTTCTTTCTTTTTCACTAATAAGATTTTCTTGTGAAATGAAATTTTAATTTGAATCAGAAGAATGAAGTTTATTTACAAGCTAAATGAAAACCATGAGCTTTGTAATAATAATAAATGGTTGTCTCTTGCAAGTATAAAAACAAAAGAAGGCAAGGGTCAAAAATCTTCGTGGGAATTCTATCTTAAAACACCGAAAAATATTACAAATATAAGATATATATATATATATATATTTTTTTTTTGATCCAACAAAAAAAGGCATTACAAATAGCGAGATGAAATATCACCAAAAATTCTAACCCCTGGAGCTCAATTCGATCGTTCAATCAAAGTTTTTAATAGAATATAAATCCAATTACAATCCATTGTTATTCAACTAATGATTTTAAAGTTCAGTGTTATTGGATCTTTTGATTGTAAATCATGTTTAAGAGATTTTAAAGTTTGGTGTTATTCAACGAAGATCTCAAATTTTTCATTAAAATCAAGTGTTATTCAAAACTAAATAATTTTTAAAAATTTTGTATATTAAGTCATTTCAAATCAATTTTAATAGAATTTTACGAGTAAATTAGTAGAATCAAAATCCAATATATATTGCAGAAATTTTAGAATCTAAACATGAATCGATAAAACTAATATCAACATTTTAAATTTAAAAGATTTTAAAATCTAAAAAAATTCATTTTAAATTCATGATTGAATTCTTCAAATGGATTCTTCTCAAAGAAATCTAATCAAACTGGAAAAAAAAGTATACAAACCCGACATCTGGGCCTTTGATAACTGCCAAGCGCAGGCCAATAAGAATAGTCTCTGGCCTTATATAGACTCAGCACAGCACGTATCCAACCCTAACAAACAAGGACTATCTGTCAGCCGCGCGCCACATATCTATACGTCTCTGATCTTTGTCGCTCTCCGTCGAAACTATGTCCGCAGAGACCAAAACATGTATCTTCTGGGACTTGAATGATTTCCCAATCCCTCAACACCTCGATCCTGAAGATATTTATAAATCCATCGAATCAGCTTTTCGGGGAAATGGTTTTCAAGGTGATGTGTCCGTCCGGTTGTACGCAGATAAGAATACTCTCCCCACAAATCCTGAGAAATTTGATGGTAACGAAATCAGGACTGTTTTGGTACCGGAAGTTGCAGGGATTGACTATGCACGTGCGAGAGAGGATGAGATGCATCTGGACATTTTTTTTTGATGCACTGGAGAATCGTGAAAAAGAACCAAGTTTGATGGTTATCTCGAACATGAAACAATATTTGTTCGTTGTACTATTGTCAGTATGCATTGGTGTGGTTACAAAATTGTATGTGCAAGTCAGCCACCAAAATTGGAGGGGGAATTGATTTTTGAAAGCGCACTGTGGCTTGTGGAAATCTTTTCAGATCCTAACTTTCTATTGGGAAGCTCACAACATGCTAACAAAAAGCAGAAGACGGTTACTGAAACTTCTCCAAGTTCACAACTACCAAACTAGCTTTTGCATATTTGCTTTACTTCTATATTTCGTTTGATGTTTTGAATTCTGAATATACTTTTATTTAAAATTCTGTTCAGATATTGGCTTTTTGAGCGACCTTGAAAAAAAAAAAAAAGAGATTTCCTCTTTCTTAAGGTGGTGATCTTTTTGATAAAAAAAAAAAAAAGAAGTACATATGTTCACAGGATGATACAAGCATCCGAGTTCTTAGCTTGACCTGGTTTCCGACGAGGGTAAGTTGTCGTAGGCTTGGTCACTTTTGTTTGCCTTATAGGCTTATTCACTTTCGGTTTAGGCACTTTAACCTGATTGCGATTTTGCACCGGTTCTCCATCCGGTTCAACCCCGATTATATCAGCATATTCATATATCTTCTTTAGTTTCTTCGTCATTACAAACTTATCAAATGCTCCAGTCACTTTTAGTTTACCTTGTTCCTTCAAGTCTATCGAAGTAACTCCTAACGAAACAACAAATTAACAAGTTAGTTGTATACACTACTTAAATTTGTATACCTTGTTTACTGGTTTATATAATTTATATATGTACAAGTATAGCTAGCTAGTGATTTGTGTTGGTGTACCTGAAAACTCACTGACAAGAGTCATAGCTTTCTGTCTGATTCTTTCGTCATAAACGTCTAACTTGAATACAACTTTCTCCTGCAAATTAATATTTAAACAAAAAAAGGCTTTATATATTCATCAGTTGATTGTTTAAGCTATAACTTTATATAACTGTGTGTATTATTGTAGGCTTTCTACCATAGATAATACCACACCTGTTAAAGTTTAATCAAACCTATTCTGAAAACTAAACAAAACGTACCTGCATTTTAGGAATGAAATTTTGGAGAACTTTAGCCAAAAAAAAAAAACTAATAATGGGGGAGTTAAGAGAGACAATGAAAAGAAAATTGATTGCAAACTATTACGTTGCTTGCTCATCATAAACCTTTTCTTCCCAGTTTATATATACGAAATTTTGTCTTTAGGGAATATAATAACGATTAGGTGAAGCCATTCGAACACCAAAATTGAATAATCAATTTCGTACAGTTAAATTAAGAGGAATAAAGAGCGTTTGAATCTTCATATATACATGTAGTAGAGATCGTTAGAAATTTTGAATGTGTGGCTGCGTTTCTTTAGTTTAGTAGTTTATAGACTATAGTAGCTTCAACTAACACCGTATTATATAATGTATATACTTCTATCTTTTGTCTTCTCTCGACATTATAAGAAATAAGTCAATCCTATTAGGACATAAGAAACAACCTCACAATTTACAGCAAATAGTCTAGCCTTAAAAAAAACAAAATAGTCTAGCTAGCCTAAAACACCGTGTTATGATGTATATGCTTCTTTCTTTTGTCTTTCTCTTGATCTAATGCTTTGTTTTATTACACGGACTCTTTAGAACCAAACTAGCTCTAAACTAAATTTTTATAAAGCGTAGACCAAAACACATTCAAAACTCGTTATATCGGTAATTCCGGCGCAACACTTACTTACACTTACAGTCTCAAACTCCACATAAACACCAAAATGTATCGTCTTCGTGTAATGACGTTGCGTGCACCTATGTGCCTCTCACATTGAATCCTCGGCATGTCACTTTTCAAAATACTGCCGATTGTTTTTAAGATCAATGACTTAATAATTTCTGTGATATCTATATGTCAAGACCTGTTCTAGTAGTTTTTTTTTCAAATATTATGATTAAACGATCCTTAATTTGTTTTTCATGTCCAAGTCATAAACTATTGTGTGTTGATACTTGATATGTGTCAAGTCCTGTTCTAGTAGCTTTTTCTAAAAATATATCATTTAACGATCCTTTCTTTACTTGTCCAAGTCATTTAATAATGTGTGCTGATATGTGTCAAGTCCTGTTCTAGTTTTATTCAACTCCTTAGTCGTTGAAACATAGTTGTATTCTTCTTTGTGTTCAAACTCAGCCAAAATTACCTTTTAATCTCTACATTTTTTCGAGTTGTATTGAGTTGTCCATAAGTTTAGAGAGAAGATGAAGCTTTTGCTGGCGAGGAGATAATAGAAATGTGCGATCAACGAAACCATATCAAACTAACTCAATTTAATTATTGACAAAGTTTCAAGCTTAAATAAACAAAAAAAGAATACCAATATGTAAACACACACCACATAATTATTGCAAAACAAGGACACAAACAAATTTTCAGAAAAATGAAAAAATATCATTAGAAGAAACCTATCTTCCAACGACGAGAAGATGGGGTCTTCTTCACTATTGGTTCAGGTTTCTTAACCGGATTGGGATTTTGCTCTGGTTCTCCATCTGGTCCAAGCTCCATAATGTCAACATATTTATATATCTTCTTCAGTCTCTTATATTTTAAGCTTCCTTATTATTATTTTAACCAAAAATATTCATTAGCAACCCAAGTAAAAAATGTGAAGAGCTCTCAATGTACATGGTCTTAGTCATTTCGAACTTGTTAAATTATCCCGTCACCTTTAGTTTACCTGTTTCCTTCACGTCTATCAAAGTAACCCCTAACAACAACAAACATTAATATTCCTTAATCCTTATTGTTTTTTTATTAAAGCCTAAATAGATTAAATTACTTATAAATGTATATAAACCGGATATCTTGCCAATATTGGTTAATTTTTTTTAACATTACTACTGATTTGTGTTAGTGTACCTGGAAATTCACAGACAACTTTCATAGCATTCTGTTTGATTTTTTCCTCAAAAACGTCCAACTTGAATACAACTTTCACCTGCAAAGATATATTTATATAAACTTGAATCTTTATACATCTCAATATTGTATAAGCAATAATAACTTTTACTGAATCATTATAATTGTTACTAATCCATGTACAAAAAAAAAACGAGACGAACCTGCATTTTCGGAAAGTTATATATATATAGTTTGGTGACTAAACAAAGATGATGTAAAGGAATGTGATTTTCAACCTCGTGGCTTGCTCATAAACCTTTGCTTCCTCGTCTATATATACCCTTTTGTATTTAACTAGCGAATATAAGAATTAATTAGTCAAGCCAGCAAAGTCGCAAAATGAAACATTCAAGTTTATTAGTACGATTATACCAAGAAGAATGAGACAGTCTAAGTCTTTCTATATAATAGATTGTTAGAATCTGTACGGGCTTCTAATTAGTTTAGTAGCGTTAACCAGAAACACCGTGTTATAGTAGATATGCGATACATTCCCTTTTATATATGTAGTTAGCGAATTCAAAAACGATTTAAGTCATGGCCATCTTAGCTAGAAAATGAACTAGTCAATTTCGTACGAATAAGAAAATAATTTTATTTTAATTGGTAGGCACCATCAGCTGTGGTTGAGAGCTAATTGTTTTGGTGGTTGCCAATCGAAAAACTGATAAATTTAGGTTGAAGACGGTTTGTTTTGGTTTAACACAAAAGTAATTACGTATACTTCTAATTTCTAAAGCACTACCACTACTAAAGCAAACACCAATATCCAAATGATATGATGACCATTTCTTCTGTGCCATGAGTATCAATTTTCCCAACACGGTTTGCTTGAGCTACCATCAAGCCAGCTAAATGATAAACCCCATCGCATTGTTCACCCGCACCAATCAAAGTCTTTGAAACTTGGTTCTGTATAACATAAAATTATTTAGTACTGCTGATTTCACTTGCAATATTAGGCATAAGATGAGCAATAGACTTAAGGGTGAGAGGTTATTCTGGAGCGTAGAACACGTGATAGAGTATTAGCTTTCCTCTAAGAGGAAACATTCCATATCATGTTGTCCAAGTAAGGATCAATGTTTTGAAAATCCGTCAAAATTTTTATATCATTCGTCAATGTTTTGAAGATGCCGCTCTTCTTGAATAATTTATGAATAAATGCTACCGAGATTCACATCATGAAACCGTGTAAGAAGGTTGGATCACGTTTTGCTAAAGCGTTGGTTGTCAAGACCCATCAAGAACTGATGAATATGAATTCTATCTTGCTTCTTTTGATACTTAAGCATCAATTCACAACTTGAACATTTACTACAAGATGTGAAACTTTTGACAACATATGCTAAGTCATCCCAAAGAATTTTAAGGCGACCGTAGTATACTCCTCGACTATTTGTCCGTCTTGTTTGCAGGCAGTGAGACCGGCATGAAGTTGATGCTCACGCTCATCAGCATTGCCGGATCAAAACGACTGTAACTCTAGCCGTTTTATTGATTCGCAAATAATTTTTATCGATTTAAGGATTTTAATCTATCTGAGAGGCGAAAAGTTAATTTTTTCGTAATTATGATTTGTGAGTTTATGCACATGATATAAAATTAGTTAATTATTCGACATTTGTCTAAAATTAATTTTTTTTTGTAATTGTGATTTGTGAGTTTATCCACATGATATAAAATTAGTTAATTATTCGATATTGACAAATGTCGAGTAATCACAAAAATACAATGAGGAAAAACCTTCAATAGTAAAGACTGCAAAGTGAAAGAAATGTGTATTCCGTGACCGTTTAATCAAGTGTCAAAGACTCGACGGTTGGGATTTTCACCTTGCTCCACCCCAAAAACTTGCATATAATTCGTTCTTTTTTTTTCTAACGGATATAAACTTGGTCATATTTAGGTGAAAAATATATCAAGCAAAAAGGCTTGAAACGTGAATAATATATTATGCAAACGAGACACTTGAACAAACTTTTGCTAATGGTTGTACGCCTAAATATCTAACAATATTAGATATAGGATAAACAAACAAAAATCCGACTATTTAATGCTCAAATCTAGCGAAAATGTGAATGTATACAATACAAGTTAACAATGTTGAATTCAATCTTCGTTTATTTTTTTTTCAGATCTCGTTTTTTTATATCTTTAAACTGTTCATTCATATTTAACACTACAAGGACCAAATAATTACAACATAATTCAACATAGTATTTCTCGCATTCTTAGCAAGTACACATCATCAGCCATTACATTAGCTTCTCTCTTTGATTATAGCATTGATTGGTGTTCTTGAGGATTGTCACTTACATATATTGCTATGAGAGTGTGCTTGTGGCGAATAGCCCGTGTCCCTCTAGCATAAATATTTGTATAGTACTAGTTGCATCACCACATAATATTACATCCTTAAAACCAATTTCTTTAACTTCTAGGACCGTGATGGAGAGATCATTTAATAGTTGCAGCTTAGGGCCAGGACTGCTTAGGGCTTGAGAACAACCACGATCAATCAATAAAAACAACAGAAGGAGTTGGCACAATGAATGGTCTTAGTATACTTAAGTGACTTGAGAAAAGAAAAAAAAAACTTTTTTTCATTCTTTTGGTAAAAAAAAAACTTTATTTTGAAGGAAACTTAATCTTCCAAACACGTGGCACGTTATAATTTGGTTTTGAAGGCTACACATCAGTCGGCAAAGTCACCGACCTCAGACGATCACAAGAGTTTCATCGTGAGACACAAATGCGTCTATACATATACACACACGTATATATATATATATTCTATACATATATATCTTCGCCGTCTTCCTCCACATTTTTCTTTACACAGGTTTCAACGAACAAAAGTAGAGAAAATCACCCAAAAAAAAATTCCCCAAAATTCTCCTCCAAATTTTTCATGGTCTCTCGAAATCCGAATCCCCAAGACGGATATTTCTTGGATCCGAACGGTGGTATGACCGTTCCTGCAATTGGACCTTTCACTGCCGCCGTCTCCTCCTCTCCAACGACTTCTTCCACCGCCGTGGCTGTGACGGATGCGACGGCGACGGTTTCTTCTTCGGAGGATCTTAGCAAAAAGATTAGAAAGCCTTATACCATTACCAAGTCGAGGGAGAGCTGGACGGAGCCTGAGCACGATAAATTCCTCGAAGCTCTACAGTTGTGAGTAATCTCATTTGAGTTCACCATTTCTCGGTATTGGCTTATATTCCTTTGGTGTTTAATCATTTTGGAGCTTCGATTCCGGCGAGGATTAGCCACGATTTTGCTGAATTAGGGTTTTTGTTTTTAGTCATGTGTCGGTTTCTGGATGGACTTTTTAGAGTTTCTATTGGGATTATGCTAATTCAGATAGATACTGAATGTGCGGAACACTGGAATTGCATTATCCTTGGAAATGTGTAAATAGCTATTTGGATTTAGATGAAGAAGAAGGCGTATATGATCATCAATAGTGAACCACAAAACAGACAAGAAATTCATGAGTCTATTATGAGGAAGCAGTGATTGAAATTGTGTGTACAATGTTAGTGAAGAAGGTTCAGTGAAGACTACTTTGAGATGCTCTTTGGTCTTGTACAATAAGCCTATAAACACTGGAAATGGAGTAATTGACATGCTAAGATTGGTCTATAGAGGGCAGGATATTGCAATGATTTTAGTGGAGACTGGAAGAGTGGATTGTTTTATCTTCGAGACTTGAGGATGGCACTGTTCATTGCATATTCCGCTATGTATTATGATGGATACAGTCTCTTATCAGGATTAGACACATGCTATATTTAGGTTGTTTGGCATTTTTGATCTGTTGTCGCTTATGCTTATGTTTTATCAATTTAGGTTTGACAGAGACTGGAAGAAGATTGAAGCTTTTATTGGGTCGAAGACAGTGATTCAGGTGCAGTAAAAAAAAAATATCTTCTCAGCTACCTTTTTCTCCGCCTTCTATTGTTTGACATCTCTGTCATCTTTCTCTTGGGCCCTCGGTGTTACCTTGGATTAGGGTTGCTTTCTCTCCTTTGATATCTCAACAAAGTGTTCCTTTATAATAACGTTGTTGTCTGAAAACTGTTCTCAACTATTTAGGAGCAGAGTGGCACATGTTTTTGTCGCTGATCACTCTAAGATTCAGTGAAGTGTAATCTTTAGTTTTTTTTGCATTAGACAAAGCGAGCTTGCTAAACTTTATCGTGGTTTCTGATACGGATTCTGCTAAGATATCGCAGATACGAAGTCATGCTCAGAAGTATTTTCTTAAGGTACAAAAGAGTGGGACTGGGGAACATCTCCCTCCCCCTCGACCTAAAAGGAAAGCTGCTCATCCATATCCTCAAAAGGCACACAAGAACGGTATGTAATAGGCTATTACTAGTAGCTACTCCAAAAAAAAAGGTTTTGAAGTTGAAATGTTGTTTGCTTATCGAGATACTATATGATGCATTTGCAGTGCAACCTCAAGTACCAGGGTCCTTCAGATCAACATGTGAACCAAATGACCCAAGTTATATGTTTAGGCCCGAGTCTTCTTCGATGCTGATGACGTCTCCAACCACTGCTGCTGCGGCTCCGTGGACAAATAATCTTCAAACAATTAGCTTCACAACCCAACCCAAAGGTACTATTCTCATCTACAAGGAACTTCTATTACTCTCTTAATGTAATGCCCTTCTCAAGTGTTACTAAATGAAGCATATTGTTCCTTCCATGTTAAAATGGAAACAGCAGGGGCAGGAGCGAATAATAACAACTGTTCTAGTAGTTCGGAAAATACAAATACCCCAAGACCACGCTCCAACAGGGACACTAGTGACCGGGGAATTCCTGGCCATTCATTAAGAGGTTAGCGCTATTACATCTTTTTCTATTTATATCTTTTTTATTGTACCTTTTCTTACTAGACAGTTTCTTCTTTGTTGTTTCAGTTTTACCGGACTTTGCGCAAGTATACAGCTTCATTGGAAGTGTTTTTGACCCATATGCCAGTAACCATCTACAAAAGCTGAAGAAGATGGACCCCATAGATGTGGAAACAGTATGATTCTTGTCTTTTCAGTTTTACATTAACCTCAAATTGAGTCCAATGGAAAAAATGATAATAATCCTTGTTTCCTTTGTTTGCCCCACACCAAGCAGGTGCTACTGTTGATGAGAAACCTATCCATCAACTTGTCCAGCCCTGATTTTGAAGATCATGTAAGTTATCTTCACAACTCCAAGAACAGTTTTTAACTAGAAACGCTAATTCAGAACTTAACCTCAAAAACTCTTTAATGATTTCGAAACAACAGAGACGGCTTCTTTCTTCATATGATATTGGCTCTGAGACAGCAACTGATCATGGTGGAGTGAGTAAAACCTTAAATAATGAACCACCTGAAATCTCTACTTGAAGTTAGAAGAGGGGGAGAAATTATGAAGGTGGCAAAACCAGATTGGCTGCAGAATACAGAGGTTCTATTGGTGGGTTTTGTTTGTACATATGAAGAAGAAGAAGAAGAAGAGGAAGCTGCTGACATTGAGCGGTTTAGTTTTTTGTGTTTGCTATAAAATATACGTCTTTTAGATGATGGATGGTGCATGTACAGTGTATTGTCTTAAGTTAAATACCATTCCATCTTCTGTCAAATCTTCTTTGAGCTTCTCTTTAAGCATGTGTACCAATGAGTCAAAACCTCTTAGATTTGTATTTTTCCATTCCGCAAATTGTTTTGATAGGTAAAAATACTTTCGAAATTGCGTTTCAAAAAAGCTTACAAAATACTGCCCAAACTTAAGGCCCATAATTCATAAAGTTTCAGCCCATTAGAAGTCCAAAACAGAGCATATAAAGTCATCGTCTTCTCATGTCAGTGTGCCGTCTAAAAGAAAAGAAAAGTAAAACCCTAATTTGGCTCTCTCCATTCCGTTCGGCTCAGCTCGAGGAAGCTCTCCCACCGATACAATGGTAAGCATAAGCTATGCTTTTGATCTATCTATCTGTTTCTCATCGTATTTTATGTGCGCGAGGATGTTGTCTGGGTGAAGTCTAACCATTTTCTTCTTCCGTTGGCTGTCAGATTATCACAGAGCAAAACCGAAGAGAAATCTGCAAATACCTTTTCAAAGGTCCGTGTTTCGTGAAATTTATATCATTTCTCTGTTACTTGGATGTGAAGTAGGCGATTTGGCGAATTAGATAGATCTTACTGTTATTCCAATCTCGTCGCGTAGTGATGAACATCGTGATTTTAGAAATAGTTTATGTAGTTCTGGTTCTGAAATCTGGTTATGGTAAAATTCTGAAATTTGCATTCAGGCTTTGGATTCAATCCACTCCTAGAGCTCTAGCGTGTTCAAAATATTTGAGTGTAGCAAATTTAGAATCATGAGTTTGTATCCGAGGTTTATATGAGCTAGCATTTACGATGTTTGTCTTGTGTTCTTTAGCTGAATTGTGTTGACAGTCATAGTTCTCTGGGTTTTTCAGAAGGAGTTCTGTTCGCAAAGAAGGATTTCAATCTCCCAAAGCATCCGTTGATTGAATCAGTACCGAACCTGCAAGTGATCAAGCTCATGCAGAGCTTCAAATCCAAGGAGTATGTTAGGGAGACATTCGCGTGGATGCATTATTATTGGTTTCTGACCAACGAAGGAATCGAGTTCTTGAGAACTTATCTTAACCTTCCGTCTGATGTTGTTCCTGCTACTTTGAAGAAGTCAGCTAAGCCTCTCGGTCGTCCATTTGGTGGCCCACCTGGTGATCGCCCAAGGTGATTAACTCGTTGCATAGCTCATCGCATATCTGTTAAAAGATTGTTCATTGCGGTTTAACATTTGGCTTTGGCGTTTCTTGGTGCATCAGGGGACCTCGCTTTGAAGGAGACCGTCCTAAATTTGGTGACCGTGATGGTTACCGTGGAGGTCCTCGTGGTGGTGGTGAGTTTGGAGGCGAAAAGGGTGGAGCTCCAGCAGATTACCAGCCATCTTTCCAAGTAAATTCTCACTGACCATGCCCTTATAATTATACTTATGGCACACAAACTTCATGATACATGCTAGTTTAGGTTGTGAACCTGCTAGAACCATTAACCTTCCAGTCTCTGATTTGAACTTGTCTTGATCATTTTTAGTTACAACGATTAGAATTCTCATACTTTACCTTTGAAATGTTTTGAAAGTCGTCTAGTTATATATATGTTGCAGATGATGTGGTTAGCGCTCTGTTTATTTGGTTTGCACATGTTTTAACATAGTTCTTTTTTATTGTTTCTTTGCTGTGCAGGGAAGTGGTGGTAGGCCTGGATTTGGCCGTGGTGCTGGTGCACCTGCACCATCTGCTTCAGGTGGTTCAGGGTGGTAGTAGGCCTGACTTTGGTCCGTGGTGCTGGTGGTTACACCGCTGCTGCACCATCTGGTTAAGGTTTCCTTTGAAAATGAAAGGGTTTTTACAGTAAGACCATGGGGATGTTGCTTCAGCTTTAAATTTTTGCTTGTGTAATTCAGATTCCGGAATCCTTCATAATCTATCTGAGTTTAGTTTTGTTGTTTGAGCAAACCTCCAATTCAAAGTACATTTTCCTCCCATCTCTCACCTTATGATTCATCCATTTGACAAATCAAACTGTATACATTCGATACCCCCGTACTTACTGTGAAACAAATTGTCTGGTTAAGCTTGGAACTAGTTGGTTTTGGAACACATTGTTCTATTGGTTCAAGTAAACATTGATTGAGCATTTGCGGTTTTATAACCATTTTTCACTATATTTTATCTTTTTATCTTAACACTTAAGTAAGAAATCGAAGACCATTAAACAGCAGACACCAAAGATCATTAGTGCAGAAACAATTATTAGTTACTTAGCCGCACTTTTAGGGGACAATATTCACTTTTAAAGAGGGACAAAAACTGGAGAAAAGACTATCGAACAGACGCATCCAACATGCCAAAAGAAAGACCTTTTACACAAACCAAACCATCATCCAAAAGAGTTTAAAGAAAAGACACAAGACAAGACGATAGAAATCCTAAAAAACTCAAAAACCATAGAGTTTATCTTCTTAGTCGACTTCCTCCATCTTGCTCTCTTCAGCAGCATCCTCCTCCAACGCAGGCATATCACCATCTTCCTCAACATTCTCATCCTCATCAATACTCAGACCCAACTTCAACATCCTGTGAATCCTCGCAGCAAACGTGTTCGGATCATCGAGACTGAAACCAGACGTCAACAAAGCGGTCTCGAACAGCAACATCACAAGATCCTTAACAGATTTATCGTTCTTGTCCGCCTCAGCTCTCTTCCTGAGCTCCTCCATGATTCCATTGTCGGGATTAATCTCCATCGTCTTCTTGCTCGACATGTAACCACTCATGCTGCTATCTCTCAGCGCCTGTGCCTTCATAATCCTCTCCATATTCGCAGTCCATCCATATTCACCAGTCACGAGACAGCACGGAGAGTCCACGATTCTGTCCGAGACCACAACTTTTTCAACCTTGTCACCAAGAATGTCCTTGATCGTCTTGCAGAGATTCTCGAAAGACTTCTTCTTCTCTTCCTTCTTTTTCTTCTCTTCCTCAGTCTCATCATCGAGCTTGAGTCCTTCTTTTGTCGCGGAGACGAGCTTCTTACCGTCGTACTCCTTCAATTGTCCAACGGCGTATTCATCGATCGCATCCACCATGTAAAGCACTTCGTATCCTCTCTTCTTCAGCTTCTCCAAGAACGGAGAATTCTCCACTGCCTTTTTGCTTTCACCAGTTATGTAGAAAATGTCCTTTTGGCCTTCCTTCATCCTTGTGACGTAATCTTTCAAGCTCGTCATTTCGTCTCCGCTCTTTGTCGAGTGGTAACGAAGAAGATCAGCTATCTTTGACCTGTTCTGGCTGTCTTCATGGATACCCAGTTTGAGGTTCTTGGAGAACGCCTCGTAGAATTTGTTGTAGTCTTCTTTGTTCTCGGCGATCTCGTTGAACATCTCAATGCACTTCTTCACTAGATTCTTCCGGATCACCTTGAGAATCTTGTTCTGTTGAAGAGTCTCACGAGAGATGTTGAGCGGCAAATCATCAGAGTCAACCACACCTTTCACGAAGCTGAGGTACTCTGGGATTAGCTCTTCGCAATTGTCCATAATGAAGACCCTCCTGACGTAGAGCTTGATGTTGTTCAGCTTCTTTCTTGTGTCGAAGAGATCGAATGGAGCTCTCTTTGGAACAAAGAGAATGGCCTTGAACTCGAGCTGACCCTCCACTGAGAAATGCTTCACGGCAAGATGATCCTCCCAGTCATTGGATAAGCTCTTGTAGAAAGAAGCGTACTCATCCTTGGTGATCTCTTCAGGCTTCCTCAACCAAATCGGTTTCTGCTTGTTGATGAGTTGCCACTCGTGAGAGACTTCCTTAATTTTCTTCTTCGTTTTACCTTCTTTCTCCTTCTCCTCATCAACGTCTACAACCTCGCCTTCGTTCTCTTTCTTTGGTTCATCCTCGTCCTCATCGTCACTGATCTCCTTCTCGGTGGTTTTCTCAGTCCAAAGATAGATCGGGTAACTGATGAACTCAGAGTGCTTCTTCACCAAGTCTTTGAGTCTCCTCTCCTCCAAGTATTCAAGCTGCAAGAATAGACACACTTGTAAGTACAAAGAACGCATTCGATCAAAACCAACAATCCTCAAACATTCAAGGCTATATGGTTCATTACCTGGTCATCCTTGAGGAAGAGAGTGATCTTAGTCCCTCTACCAAGGGGTTCCCCATCAACATCCCTTGTGACAGTGAAGGAACCACCAGCTTGAGACTCCCATACGTACTGCTCGTCATCATTGTGCTTTGTGGTGACAATAACCTTCTCTGAGGAACGAGATAAGCAGAGGAAGAGAGAACGGGCACCAAACTGACCAATCATGCTCACATCAGCACCAGCTTGGAGCGCTTCCATAAACTCCTTGGTTCCAGACCTCGCAATGGTTCCCAAGTTGTTCACCAGATCTGAATACATAGAAAAGAGTCAAAACAACGACACAAACACCAAAACCGAACTAAAGAGACAATCACAGATATATGCGTTACCTGCTTTGGTCATTCCAATGCCACTGTCAATAATCGAGAGGGTCTTGTTGGCCTTGTCTGGGACCAACCTGATGAAGAGCTCAGGCTGTCCATCGAGCTTGCTCTTATCGGTCAAGCTCTCAAACCGAATCTTGTCAAGAGCCTGTTAAAAATCAATGTTCATAAACACAATCAGAAAATATCCTCAACAGCATAGATCAATCGTTACTGATTAAGCCAAGATCCAAGAAACAATTGGTGACGACTATCACATAATGCAATCCCCCAGAAACTAAGATCTCGCGATAATCTAAACGTTTTTTAGCAAACACTACTTTCAAGCTTCAAACAGTTTAGCTAATCCTAATTACAGATCATATAACTAAGACACAAGGGAGACGAATTCATCAGCTCAAATCAAGATCGAGAGACAAAACTAACTTGAGACACAAGTTTTATCACGATTCAACTCATCGGTATCCCAAACTAATCAAACATCAACAGCGAATCCGAAATTCCAGAAAACACAGGAGAAACAACCAATAACATGCAGGAAAATAAAAAGCAGAGGAATCGTAGAGAAGAGATTTAAGGAACATACATCAGAGGAGTTACTGATAAGCTCACGGAGGAAAATCTCTTTGTTGCTGTAGAAAGTGTTGATGATCAAGCTAAGGAGCTGGTTAATCTCGGCCTGGAAGGCAAAAGTCTCCGCATCAGCCATCTGAACTTCCGCCATTGCAACGATTTTCTATTCAACGCAAACGAAGAACAGCAAGAGAAATTGAAAGACGAATAGATAAACTTTTGAGAGCTTTTTCGAGAGATTTGATGATTTCAATCTTTGAGACACAGCAGGGAGGAAAGAACAATGTGTAATTTATAAGAGGAGAATAACTTCTAGTCTCTTCTTTCAAATTGCGAAACCAGTGGATTCTGGATTGTTCCCAGGAAACGTCGTCGTTTTAGTTTTCCAACCTTACCCGTAAATGGTAACCGATTTAGGGGGATCCACCGTGTCTTTGTAAACAAACGAATTCCAGAATGTTCTTTTCATTTCCAGTTTCTTTCAAATTCGAGTCGTCTGGTCAATGACCCGAAAGCGAAGTCAATTCTGAGTTAAAAAAATTTTCGCTGGTTCAATATAAAAAAAAGGTTGGTTTGAAAATATATAAAATCCAATTTAAATAGATAAAAAAAAATAGATTATGCCAGAAATATGATTTTTTTTTAACTGTAAAATTTGCATTAAATAAACAACTGAAGAACAAACACTGACGAAAATAGGATGGCCTAATTATTAGTAAAAAAGTTTATGATTAGATAATTTTTGTGATCTCAAGTTATAAAAAAATTTAAACAATGTTTTTATAATCATACTAATCTGTAAACTTATCTGTTTTGTAAAGCTCAAAATATTTCATATCTGATGCAATAACCCGGCAAAAAACCGCAGTAATCAAAATATTAACAAACAATTGTTCAGATAAATAAACAAGAACAAAATTCTTCCTAGTTATGTAATTTACAAGCAAAAGACTATAGATTTAGTTATATACATTAACCAAGTCTGAGTGAACCCGAAGATGGTCCAATCTAATCTAACACAATAAGAAGAAGAAAAATGGTATAATTAGTGGTATTGCAATGCCTGGAAAGCTATTTGAATGGAAAGCTTTTAGCCCCAGGTAAAAAAAGATATATTGCTTGATTATGTAACTAGTGCAATATGAGAAATAAACGAATAGTGATCGTATATTTCCAAATGTTTATGATAACATCTACAAATGATGATCAAGAATTAGAAGTAGCCGTTACGTTTGAATCATAAACCAACTCTCTTATTTGTCTTTTCACCAATAGTCATTACAAGAACACTTGCCATCCTCGAACCGATGAAACCTTTTGTTATCTCTCACAATGATCACTCGTCCCGTACACACGGACATGAACTTGATCGCGTTATGGCAATCTCCGCACACACGCAGGTTCTTAATCACACGGATCGGTCTATCACCCGAAAACGTGATCAGCGCAAAGGCAATAGCCAATCTCTCGCTGTGATACCTTATGGTCTGATTCTTCTCATCTCCATCAACTTCTCTCAGAACAAAGCTCGTGTCTGCAACGTAACCAGCTTTCTCAATCTCTTCTCCTAACTCAGCCAGCTTCTCATAAATCTCCTTGCTTCTCTCGTGGCGTCTATCTCCAGCTGCAAATGTATGAACCTTGTTCCTTTCCTCAACCCAACTCAACCCTGTTTCCTTCTTCTCCCCTCTGTCTCGGAGCAGTTTTCTCGCCTTGGCTGCGTCTTCGAATCTACCATCGGCTGCATAAGCATTGGACAACGAAATGTGCATACCGGAACTCACTGGTCCTAATTCAAATACCTTGTCTGCTGCAAACGCCGCGAGCTCTGTGTTCTTGTGGATTGTACAGCCCGTTAACAAAGCTCCCCATACAGACTCAGTAGGATCGATTGGCATATTCTTGATAACTTCGAGCGCTTCTTGTAGCTTACCAGCTCGTCCCAACATATCAACCAAGGAAGCGTAATGCTTATCTGTCGGCTCGATTCTGGAATCAATCATCAGATCAAAGTAATATCTCCCTTCATCGACTAAACCCGCGTGGCTACAAGCATTGAGCACGTTCAAGAAAGTTATGAAATTCGGTTTCATTCCTTCGCGTTTCATACGTTTGAACAACTCGATTACTCGCTTAGCGTCCGAGTGTTGCGCACAGGCCTTGAGCATCGCGTTCCAAATCCCGAGGTTCTTCAATGGCGTCTCGTCGAAAACTCGATAAGCTCCTTCGAGAACACCACATTTCGAATACAACGAGACTAACGAGCTTCCCACGAAGCTAGAAGAGTCAAAGCTGGATTTAACGCACAAACCCTGAATCTGTCTTCCTAATTCAAGAAGAGTCGAATTAGCACAGACACTAATGACACTAGAGAACGAGTAATCATTCACAGCGAGATTCTCAAACAGAGCTTCTTTGAACAACCACAAAGCTTCCTCATTTTCACCCATTTGCGCATACCCATACATCATTCCACTCCAAGTTACAACATTTCTCTGAGGCATTTCGTCGAACACGTTCCTCGCATCAACAATATCTCCACATTTCGCATACATATCAACCAAAGAACTCCCTACAAACACATCCGCGTCGTACCCAGTCTTCATCGAAAGACAATGAACCGATCTACCGATATCGCATCGATTCAGAATCCCACACGACTTCGTAGCCGAAGGGAGGACATGATCGTCAGGACGAAGGTTTCCCGCCATCATTCTCCTGAGAAACTCGAGAGACATCCATGGAAGCTCGTTCTGAGCGAAACAGGAGATGATGGAGCTCCAAGTCGTCGCGCTCTTTCGCGGGGTATCTTCAAAAGCTCGGCGAGATTCAAGCGGAAGCTGGGATTTGGAGTAGAAGTTAATGAGGTTGTTAGCGACGAGAGGGATAAGAGAAAGGCCTGATTTGACGATATAGCCATGAAGCTGAAGTCCTTTAGAAGTCGATCTAGAGCGAGCTGAAGAAAGAAGAAGATCGCAAATCTGATTGTAATTGTGGCATGGGACGAAGAAAGCTGAAGAAACATTTCTTCCTTGAGGAAGTTGATGCATTGAATTTGAACCAGCTCGCCGAGAAACAAGACACCATTATGATTTAATTGTGTTTTATCTGGTCTTGTAATAGATTCTGAATATGACCCATTAACAGGCCCATTAGGCCCATTTGTTTTGAAAATTTCCACGAGAAAAGAAAACAGAAGTTACTTATCAAAATCAATAGAGCTAAAACCCTAAACCGTAAGAACCAAGACACCATCTTCTTCAATCTTCGAACAAGATGAAGAAGAGAAAACGAAACTCGGATCCCCTCCCGGTGGACATCATCGTCGAAATACTCTCGAGATCGTCTAATAAGTCAGTCGCTACGTTTGGTCTCGCATCCAAGTACTGTGCGTCCATAGTTAGCCGTCAAGATTTCACCGAATTGTTTCTGACCAGGTCCATAACTCGGCCGCGTGGCCCGCGTCTCTTATTCTCCGTTAAAAATCGCCATGGTTGGTGCTTCTTCTCATCGCATCAACCTCAGAATCCAGATACGAAGCCTTCTCTTGTTGTAAAAGCCGATTTTCTTAAGGGTTTCAAGGAATTCGTGTGCCCAGAGATTTGTGGGCTTGTCTCTAGCTTGCTCCTTTTCACTAGTATTCGGACATCAAAAAGTATTACGTCATCAAGGGCGAATAGAGAACAGATAGTGCAGGTGATATGTAACCCTAGCACGGGACAATACAGAAGATTACGTCAACGGAAAAAGATAAACTTTACGAGACCCTTGTTAGGGTATGATCCGATTGGAAAACAATACAAGGTATTGAACATATGCAATCCACCTTATGGATCACCATATGAAGAGGAGGGGATTCGGTCATTACCAACAACAACTGGAGAATTGTCATGGAGGAAGTTCTGGTTCCTAACCCATTATCCTATAAGTGAAGGGATATGCATCAATGGAGTTTTGTATTACGTTGCTATTGTAACCGGGGGTATGAACAAGATGATAGCTTGCTTTAATGTTAGGCATGAAAATCTTGAATTCCTTAAAGCACACGCTATTACCGGGAACGAATCTTCTTCGAGTAATAAACTGATAAATTACAAGGGCAAATTAGGCGTGATTAGTTGGTATTGGTACGGTTTTGATGGAAGGCCTAGGTCTGCCCTTAAGTTGTGTTTATGGATTCTAAAGGATGACAAGAAGCAAGAATGGTTGCAACATAACTACAATTTTCCGGTGAATGTAATTGTTGAGGGTGATATTTCAGTCGTTGGAGTGATTGCTGCTACTGGTGAAATTGTGTTTTCCATGGACTATACGTTTAAACGCTTTTTTGTTTTCTACTTCAATCCTGAAAGGAACACTTTTAAAAAAGTTGGAATCCAAGGTTTTGAAGAGTCTGAGAATCAAGCAAGAGTTCACACCTTTGTAGACTATGCAGAAGATTTCAACTTTATAAGATAGGTTTTAGCTAGTTTACCTGTTGATGTGAAATTTTTCATATCAATGTTTCGTTGCGAGCTGAGCTCGATCAATTTTTTTTTTTTTGTTTCCAGGTTTTTCTTCTCGATGCTCAAATTGTGTTGCACACGTTAAGGCAAAATAGTTTTTGATCTAGCATTAGTTGCATTTTTATAAAACATCTCTTCTTAATGATATTATAGCCTAAAGGTTCTTTTTAGGACCTCTATATATAGCATTATTCTTTTTTCTCTGTTTTAAGAAATGACTGGATGATACTCCAAATAATACACTACATTAACTGTATTGTTTGTATTGAACTTTGAAAATAATAAAAGCTTAATTAGAACATGACTTTTTTTCATATATAATGTCATCATATTAGAAAGTTGATGAATAGTGATTTCTATATTGTGAATAATCTAATTCCGTAAAATAATTTTAATCTTTTGAAATAATAAAAACAAGGAACCCAAACCGACATTGAACACCCCTAATTTTTATTAGCGATATCCAGTTACCTCTCCATCAAACCTAAACCCATATATAACCTAAACAAATAGGAATTTATATACTATATCTATTCGCCGTCATATATATATATGTATATATATATATAATATGTATATATATACAACCGTTTACTTTTCTTAAATCTCTATTTTTTTACATATTTTGATTTACAAAAATTTCCTAACTCTAATTGAACTTGGACTTCTATTTTTCCAAGTGAGAGAGATTTCCCTTAAAACCCTAAATTATAGAACCAACACCCTATCTTCTTCAAACTCGATGAAGAGAAAAGCATCGAGAAATGAAATCTCTGTGAAGAGAAAAGCATCGAGAAAAGAATCGAGAAAAGAAAACTCGGATCACCTTCCGATTGATATCATCCTCGAGATACTATCCAGATCGTCAGCTAAGTCAGTCGCTACGTTTGGTCTCGCATCCAAGTTCTACGCGTCCATGCTTAGCCGTCCAGATTTCACCGACTTGTTCCTCACCAGGTCCTTGACTCGGCCACGTCTCTTATTCGCCGTCAAATATCACCGTCGTTGGTGCTTCTTCTCATCGCCTCAGCTTCAGAATCTAGTTGATGAGAAGCCTTCTCTTGTAGTAGAAGCTGAATTTCTTAAAGATTTCAGAGATATCATGTGCCCCGAAATTTGTAGGCCCGTCTCTAGCTTAGTTCTTTTACCTAGAATTCGGATCTCAAAGGAGAATAGAGATCATACAGAGCCGGTTATATGTAACCCTAGCACGGGACAGTACACGACATTACCTCAACTGAGAAGGATAAGTCATACGAGAAGCTTATTTGGGTATGATCCCATTGGCAAACAATACAAGGTACTGGCTATAAGCAAATCGGAGCAACATATCGTGGTAATACCAACAAGTGGAAATGTTTCATGGAGGAAGATCTCGTTACTCAACCATTACCCTAAAAGTGAAGGGATATGCATCGATGGGGTCTTGTATTATGGAGCCGAAACCAAGGGTGTGAACAAGATAGCTTGCTTTAATGTTAGGCATGAAAAACTTGGTTTCCTTGAGGCACACTCATATGCCATGAACATATTCCTAAGAAGTAATTATAAACTGATAAATTACAAGGGTAAATTAGGCATGATTAACTGGAGTTGGTATGGTCCACTTTGTCTAAAGCCTAAGCTTAAGTTGTGTTTGTGGATTCTAGAGGATGCCGAGGGACATGAATGGTCAATGCGTAACTACAAGTTGTCGCCGAATATAGTTGTTGAGGGCGATGTTTCAGTCGTTGGAGTAACTACTGCTACTGGTGAAATTATTTTGTCAATGGACTATGCATTTAAACCCTTTTTTGTTTTCTACTTCAATCCCGAGAGGAACACTCTAAGAAAAGTTGGAATCCAAGGTTTTAAAGAGTCTGAGAATCCTGCTAGAGTTTACACCTTTGTAGACTATACAGAAGATCTCAAGTTTATATAATAGGGTCTACCTAGTTTGCCTGTTGATGTGACTTTTTCATCCACAGGTTTCGTTGTGAGCTCCATCATTTTGTTGGCTTATCATTCTCTTCTTCTTCTTCTTCTAGGTTTTCTTCCTGAATCCTGATGCCCTAACAATGTTTGATGCTACATTATTTGCATTTTCATAAAACATCCTTTTTGTAATGATATTATATATAGCCTAAATTTTCTTTTATGACCTCTATAGCATTATTCTTTTTTTCTCTGTTTTAATGATACCCGAATAACAGACTAGCTACATTAATTGTTTGTGTTGAACTTTGAAAACGTTACATATTTTAAATGAATAGTGCTTTCTTGATTTTGAGCAAAAATCTTTGAGCTATAAAGAATTTTCAGAAGCAGCTACACGCATTTTTTTCTTCTTCTGTAAGTGTACAAGTTAAACTTGTATTTGTGAGGTATTCAGTTTCTTTGCAAGTGTGCTGAACATAAATTTAGAAACATATTTTGAATTATTCACTTATTTGCATAAAACAATATTGAACATGTTGAAATGATTTCTAAAAGGGTGTCCAAGCTTTAACGCATAGATGTTCACACGCTAATCAAGAAAGGAGGTTGGTATTGGTATTATACTTATTTTTTTAAATATGTTAAATTATATTCCAAAAAAAACTGTTTTCTTTACATAGCTATTAGAAAAGAAATGCAAGAAATAGAAAACTTTGACCCAGAAAACAGAGCACAAACTTAAAACAGAGCAAGCTTCGTGTGTAGTCATGGCATGTATCCCCTTGAACCAAACCAGATTTCTAAACCGTCCATGTAGCTAAAGTCACGCATTGCAATAAGTCGATTGCGCACAGTTTTGTCCATTGTAGCGATTAGGCGTTGCACTGTAGATGGATGGTCACCATGACGCCTTCCATTGCGCTCTCGCTAGAGCATTGCTAGTGTGGCATGAAACGTGTATCTCGCCAGGAAAGATCTTGTCTTTTGTATTGGTATTTTTTGTATAGATAAAGTATAATAATTAAATAGAGTATAAATGTCACTGTGATGATAAAGAGACCAAGTGGTAATCCTTGAGAGCAGGGTCGGATCTGAGAATTTGGGGGCTAGAAACAATTTAAAAACAAATATTTTTTGTGATTTGGGGGTTGAAAAATTCGTAAATAACAAAAAAAAATTTTTGGAGGTTATAGGCGAATGTTTCATCATGCTGTCCCCAGATCCAGCCATACCTAGGAGTTGATGGCAATCTCTAATCTCTGAATCTGCGTTGGTTATATGTTTGCCCTAAAGCGCCAAATACTTTGTAACAATACTGAGGATGAAAACAAAGGAACTATATAGCTTTTACAGCTATAGCTTGCACGAATGTTACAGTAGTTTAATTTTTGCTGTTTGAAAAGTACTCTTTTTCCCTTCAAACTATTATGTGTAGCGCAAGATATGAAACCATGCCAACTTGATACAGTTAGTTATATTCTCTTCTTTCATCTACTTTGGGATTTTTTATTCAAGAATTCACTTGATGGCAGATATAGAACGTCGCCATGGAAATCATTAATTCAATGTTCTGGTTATAGTAATAAAAAGAAAAAAACTTAAGAATGGTTTTGTAGTGAAAGTATTTCCCATCTGATGTGAATCCATCTTCTTGCAGATAGTATTGCTAAGAATCGCACCTAAATACAGGTCGTTACTTGGATGGATACTGGACGAGATGGAAAGCAAGAGAGGAATCTCCAACTTGAGGACAAGGTGGGTTCTTCACGGGAGGAGTATTGATAAGATCCGGATTAGTGTTATTGAGCGGTGGGCTTCATCGTTATGTTATCACTTAAGTCCATTATTTTCTTATACTACTGTACTTGTATTTAGTCTTGCTTTCTCTTGTATAAACATTACAGAAAGAAATTAATCAAAACATTTATAATCAATCCTCTTCTCGTGAAATCTAGTGTATTTTCTGATACTCTTTGCTGAGAAACAGGTCTCAGTTTGTTTTCTTTCTTTGGCATGACATTACATTCTCCTTCTGAATTGTGTAGTTCATATAACCAAAAGGTTGCTGCAATTGCATTCTGCTATTCATGTTTGTAACAAACATCTTGAGGTAAACATTAGGCTCAAAGTCTGTCTTACTTGTGTTGAACCTCATAGGTTTTATCAGATTAAAACCAGAGAAAAAGTTATAATATTGACATCTATCTTCTACAATGCCTCGGTAAATGAAGTTGTCACCAACCACTTCATTTTCATTACGTTATTTAGATGGATGAAGTAGTTATGAAGGCAGCAACATTTTTATGAACAAATAAAAACCGATTCAAATGAGGTTTTTAATGCCATCCTCTCCTGCTGTCCGAGCACAGCAGCAGATTAGTGAGCTGTTCTTCACATTATCTGCAGAAACAACCCACACTGATCTATTATCTAAAAAAACGGTTTTTGACTCATCCTGAAAAAAAATCTTTTTGAGAGATAATTTTCTACTCAAATCGATTAATGTTACCTTTTTATCCGCTTCCTGTTTGTCGCCTTCTCTACATCGCTGTCTCCACACTCTTCATGGTGCTCAGCTTCACGGTCTCTGTTGAAAATGAAAGAGTAGTAATACGGGAACTAACACAGAACACAACACAGAGATTTTCTCTTCAAAAATATTTCACTAGTAAATCTGTTTGTAACTTATAAGTATACAGAACCCCATTTAGAGAAACCTCAAGACACACCTTGATTTGCTACACTAGTCTCACTTGTTCTTGAATCGATACGTGATTCAAGAACCTCTCACCCAAATCCCTTAGCACACTAGCTCACAAAAACTCTCACAGATTTTTGCTCACCCTTTGCTAAGTATTCTCTCAGTTGTGTTAAAACCCTACATAGCTTCAACACGCCTATTTATACTCAATAGGACTTGCGGCTGATCCTCGCCTAGATTCTCCTTCTGATTACACCAAATCTTCATGAGAATCTTCACCTTCCTTATCTTCTCCTAAGATAGAGGAAACTTGATATTTTCTTCATAGATCCTCCAAGATACTCCAAGCTTCCTATCCACGTCAGCTTCTCGTCTCTTGAAGTGTCCAGCACGTCCTGCAGCTCCAGCTCAGCTTCCAGCTCACCTCCACGTGTGTAGATTGCTACGCAAGTCTTCCCGTGTCAGTTCCAGAGCTAGTCGGACTGCTACACGTGCTGCTCCAGCCTTGTTTGCATCTTCAATCTCCCCCTTTTTAGCATATGTGCTCCACAAGTACCCGTTCAGGAAATCGAGACCAAACAAGCAACAACCAACATACTACAAGCCACACAATTCTGGGAATGATTTCAAAAACAAAATCCGATTAACCAAAAGAGACTCCAAGAAACCAATGGAGTGTCAAGTCTTATCATAGCCGAGTTCAAAGAGATACGAAATAAAACATAAAGCACAATGTCTTAAAACACTCTCTCCTTACTCCCCCAGAATTCGAAAACCCCCAAAATAAACCCAAACAAAAACTCCCCCATAGTTCATGCATCCATCGATTTCAATTTTCTCCCCCTGCTTGTGAGCACAGATGTTAAAAATAACCGATGAGCAAACATAACTTTACAATTCAAATAAGGACTAAGTGGGTTTACCTGTGACTGCAGCGCGTAGCATGGCCGTTACTGTCCCGAGTTGCTCAAGAACTGATGCAACATCTTCAAGAGCTGTCCTGATTCCTTCTGCATCAGCTGGAGCCTCAGGTACTCGAATCACTCCCAGACTCACGCTGTTGACTCCTGCAGTTGGTGCCTCTGGTTGAGCAGTTGCTGTAGATCGCAGATTCGTCCTAGGCTGATGAGACGTTGATGCTGATGTAGTCTTCTTCCGGGTCTCTTTCTTCTCGTTTCCCTTTGCCCTCACGACTGTAGCAGCAGCTGCGGCTTCTTTCTTGAGAAATGTCTCTCCGCTTCGTGGATCTTTCTTGTACTTTGTTGGAAAGACCCACATCTCTCCTTCTTCAAGCTGCACGATCAACTGTCTCTTGATGATCTTGCTGATGAGACAGGGAAACATCAGCCATCTCCGATCTCCTCTGATCACTTTGCTTAGATCGAGCATCTGTTGGAAGATCATCCGTCCTATGTCTACTTTGACTCCGTGTGCCAGTTTGTAGACCAGTCTAGCTCGTTCTTCGGAGATATGATGCTTATTTGTTGACGGCACCCAGTTGTACGACGCGATAACCATCAGAGCGGCTATCCTGGGTGGAAAATCCCTCGAAGTAAGCTCGGATCAAACAGACTGATGCCCTTGAGACAGATACTTTGACACCTCGGAGATTGGCACAAGATCTGCCTCTGCTTCTTCCTTTCTCTCTGCCTCAGACAGCGGCTCACGACGAAGAGTCTCGTTGATGATTCCCGACGAGATCCGGACCTTTGCTCCCCTGATTCTCACCACAAACACCTGTGATGGGTCACTTGGTGTCTCAGATGGTAGTCCAGCATAGAAATCTCGTACTACCTTACTCATGTAAGGTTCGAGCTCCGTTACTGACCACCGCATTCCACTCTGAAGAAGTACCTCATGATACTTCCACTCGTCAGCCTCATCCACATCAACCACTCGTTCACACCAGATGTGACGATCCTTGAACAGCTTGATTCGTTCATCAGACACAGCTTTCTTTTTGCTCCGGAGATGCACCTTCTTCTTTTTCTGTTTCTTGACATGACTCGACTCAGCCTCTGGACCAGAAGCGGCTGGAGATTGCTCAGTCCTTGGCTCAGAGGACTCTGCAGAGGTGGCTCTTTTCTTTTCTTTTCGAGCTTTCTTTGCCACTGGAACTGGCACAATCGCCAGACTCCGTTTTCTTCCGACCTCATTGATAACACCGTATTTTGACCACTTTTATGGATCGTTTTGAAATTCTTTTTCTATGTTTTTAATTACTTTTAAATACTTTTATCACGTTTTTCTAGTATTTGTAGTTCCAAGATTCAGGTAACTTAGGGAAAAACTTAACAAAATGG